GCAAGCGATCCTCGAGATGAGTTAAATCATGACATAATCGTGAAGTTCTCAAAGTTCAAACCTTGAACCTTAAGAACTGGGGGGCTTCTATTATGCCTAAAAAATTTGGGCTGACACAGGCTTACATCAGCGAGGACCAATCAGAGTTTAGGAAGGCATTGTGTCGCCTAGGCGCTACCACGTCCAAGGACAGAAGAAGTGAGACTGTCATCAACTTGGCAGGTAAAGGCCTGGCTAGTGAGTGGCTCGGAGTCACCCACGTCAACGAGGACTAATCAGAGTTTAGGAAGGCATTGTGTCGCCTAGGCGCTGCCATGTTGTCCAAGGACAGAAGAAGTAAGACTGTCATCAACTTGGCAGGTAAAGGCCTGACTAGTGAGTGGCTCGAAGTCACCCACTTGCCCAAGCCCTGCTCGATTTAAGGATATCTACCGTGCAGCCAGCCAATGGGAGGTAGGGTAGGAACTGTACTGTACTTGCCCGCTGGCAGACTCGTAATCACTACTCATAAACCTCTTACTATAAATAGAGAGCTCCCCTCTCATTATTCGAATTCGAATTCTAATTTTGATACTGAGAACCCAAAACACTCACTCTTCCTCTTTGTAGTTCTATTTCTTTGATAGCTACTTGCGACCTGATTGTAATCTTCCATTTATAAAAAGATAGTGGACGTAGGATTCGCTTTGAGCATCCGAACCACTTTAAAAATCGTCTCCCTTTTATTTATTTCATTTCCAGTTCACATGTAATTTCTAAGTCCGCTTAGTATTTTGCATGTGCAAATAGTTGGTGTCAAAATCAAGCATCAATAGAAAGAATATATACTTTGAATCTTACAACAAGAAAAAGTGGAGGCCTTCAAAGTGAATGCCAACATATTTGATCAAATCCATGAATTAAGAAAAAATATGTTAAACAAACCTCATTTTTCCTAGCCACTGTGTCTATGGTCTCCAGCCCCATTTCCAATTTCGGTTCAACGCTTGCTTTCCCGATTTTCTTTACTCTTTCCAATGGGTTTCCCGTTTATTCTAGCTACCTAGTTATGTATTGCTATAAGTGGCTGTGGATGCTATCGTAACAATAGGAACCAAATGACAATTTATAAAACCTGGAGGGTTGTTTTGGATGTTTCTGTGGGAGAAATTTCCCAACACTACAGGGGGTTAAATTCATTATCGTAAATATGAAGGGGGAATCAATTGAAGTTTTTCAATAAAATCATGCTAAAACGCTGTCGTTTCTGGCTTCAGATAAACCTCATCGGAATCAGTTACTTCTAAAACCCTAAAATCACAGGCTAACGAAGAAAAAGAAAATGAATAATAAGAAGAAAGAAACAGTGAAGGAAATATTCGCGTCGTGCTCCTTTACCAGCCTCGGCCTTCACTCCACATTATGTGACCAGCTTCGAGGTTTTCTCGAAAACCCAGTTTTGTTTGAAAAAATACATTTTTTTATGTTTGTTTAAAGCTAATTAGACTGAAAATATACGTCATTTGTGTACAGAAAGATTGGGATTCGAAGCTCCCACTCTTGTGCAGGCTGAAGCCATTCCTGTTATTCTCGCTGGTCGACACGTGTATCATCCTTTCCTTTGTTCTCTTACTTTTTATTGTTTTGTTGATGATTTTTTCTTTTTAATAGTTTTGTTCTGTTGATGTTTCTTTTTTCCAAAAATATAGACTTGTTAATGCAGCAACTGGGACTGGCAAGACGGTGGCGTATTTAGCTCCCATTATTCATCACTTGCAGAGTTACACTCCACGAATTGATCGTTCTTACGGAACTTTTGGTAAAGAATAGAAAACAATTGAGTTTTTGAATGTGAGAATTTTTGTTTATAATATGATACATCTTAATGTGTTGATTGTTTGGTAGCATTGGTACTTGTGCCCACACGAGAATTATGCCTGCAAGTTTTTGAGATTTTGCACAAGTTACTGCATCGTTTCCATTGGATTGTGCCAGGTTATGTTATGGGTGGTGAGAATAGATCGAAAGAGAAAGCCAGGTTGCGCAAAGGTAAACCACTTTCTAAACTTCCTTAACAATGATTGTACATTTAGAAAGACTTACTAGTTATTGTAGGTGTAACTTCGTCGATTGGTAAATTCATTTTGCATTATTAAATGCTTTTTAGGTATATCTATTCTTGTTGCAACACCTGGACGACTTCTGGATCACTTAAAGAATACAACAGCATTCTTACATACAAATTTACGTTGGATAATCTTTGATGAGGCAGATAGGTATAGTTTCATAGGTTAAAGTTGAGTTACAGGTTCTTAACAAATTCTGTCTTCATTAACTCTTGATGTGCTCCTTGACAGAATTCTGGAATTAGGATTTGGAAAAGAAATTGAGGAGATACTAGATATTTTGGGTTCGAGGAATGATGGGTTTGTTGGCAAGGAGAAGGAAGATTCTAACTTTAAGAGGCAGAATTTGCTATTATCAGCTACCTTAAACGAAAAAGTAAATAATCTTGCGAGAATTAGTTTAGAAGAGCCAGTTATGATTGGTCTTGATGACAAGAAGGTGCAACAAGATGCATCACATGAACAGAGTGGATCTCTGGGATCTGTTGTGGACAAAGAACTTGAACATCCGAGTGCAGTGATGAGCTCTTCAAGTGGAGACTACAATCTTCCAGCTCAGTTGGTTCAGAAATATGTAAAAGGTATATTTTGATTCCTTGGTGAACCTTTAACCTAGGTTAGAGTGATAAACATCTCAATGAATTTTATGCAGTTCCCTGTGGTTCACGGCTTGTGGTCCTTCTTTCCATACTCAAGCATCTTTTTGAAAGAGAAGCTTCCCAAAAGGTGAGACTTATTTTAATTTTTTAATTGCTCAATGCAGTTTCAAGTACCTTTCTGTCTTCTGTGATCAAGATCATTCCAATTCCAAATCCTTTTAAACCAATATATTTCATGAGAGATGCCGAGTGCAATCTTATTAAACATTTTTTTTTTCTTTCGTCAGATTTCTGATGCTATTTTCTAATATGAAGTCAATTACTAATTAATTTGCTTTGACTTGATCTTCATTTGAACTAGTGAAACCATTTGTGCTCACTTTTTTTTTTTTTTTTTTTTTTTTTTTTTTTTTGAGTTCAAGAACTGATCCGAGAAAGCTGTTATCATTTCTTTTTCATTGTCTGATTTGGTGTTAATTTGTCAAGTTCTCTACATACTCCTATAGGTTGTGGTGTTCTTTTCAACATGTGATGCTGTGGATTTTCACTATTCTCTGTTGAGTAAATTCCAGTGGTCACCCTATGCACAACAAGATGCAGAAACCAAACAGCTATTTTTGAGATGCAAAACATTCAGGTTACATGGGAATATGAAGCAAGAAGATAGAAGAACTACATTTGGGGCCATTAAAACAGAGAAGTTGGCACTGCTATTGTCCACAGATGTTGCCGCTAGAGGCCTGGATTTTCCGAAAGTTAAATGTATTATACAGTATGATTCTCCAGGGGAGGCTACTGAATATGTGCATAGGTATTTAGACTTGTCTCTTTTGAAATTTTCATTTCCAGTAATTCATAGGCTGTTTTCTTTCATTTTTGAGGATTCTTTGTGCTGCATTCTTATGACTGGCATACATTTTTTTTTTTTATATATATACTATTGACATGTATCTTAAATTTACTTGCAATTCTACTTTTCTATCATTATTAAATTGTACTCAATGGTACTTGTTTTTATGTCTTTCAAGTGAAAGGCGGAGATTCTTGATGTTTTTGTTGAGACAGATAGATGTTTGGCAGGTGCTTGATGCTAATTGTTTTTATCTGTAATGCAGGGTTGGTAGAACCGCTCGGTTGGGTGAAAGAGGAGATTCGTTGTTATTTCTACAGCCAATTGAAGTGGATTATCTGCAAGACCTGGAGAAACACGGTGTATTATTGACTGAGTATCCTCTCCTCAAAGTGTTAGATGGTTTTCCTTTGTATGGTCATGTACCTCGAGTGAAGAAATTTGTTTCCACAGAGTCGCATCCTTGGGTATTAACTCTCCAAAAAGCACTTGAGTCGTTTGTCTCAGCTGAGGTATGACACTGGGTATTTCTGGTGATGAATAATCATACACTAGTATTATGTTGACTGTGATTGATCTTTACGTAGTTTGAGTATGTAGTATGTACTTGGGAAAAGCCCTTCAGAGACATTAAACTCTGCACTGAGCATTCCTTACGTTTTTGGCTCGTTCTTTAGACCATAATTGGACCTACTGGCTCTAGTTTCTTTTTGTGTGCTCCAAGTTGATGGTTTTGGTTTGATGCCTTTCTGCAGCCAAAGATGAAGAAACTAGCCCAGAATGCTTTTTGCTCCTGGGTTCGTGCATACACTGCCCATCGTGGTGAGCTGAAAAGAATGTTTATGGTGAAGAAGCTTCATTTAGGGCATGTTGCTAAGAGCTTTGCATTGAAAGAGCAACCCTCTTTGGTCGGGAAATCATTCCAGTCACAATCAAAGAAAAGGAAGAGGGATCAGAAACAGAAGGGACAACAGAAAAAAAGGAAGGTTTCCGGTAAAACATAATTGGCGAGTTGATGGACAGATTTTGAAAGTGCGACATGACATCTGTTGATCATCTTGAGCAGTTGCCGCATGCGAAAATACCTGGATCAGATTTGTTGTCTTTCACCAACGTTGTATGATCCGGTGGTGGTTGGCTGGGTCATTTGGTTCTTTGCAATGGAGAAATTATATATCTTATAGGAAGAGGCTGTTCAGGCAGAGTTGTAACTGTAGAGTATTATTTACTTCTCACAGTGTAGCTTATATCAAAATTTTGACAGAAACATGATTATAAATGGTAAATTTGCTTTCTGATTTTGGTATCGGTAATATCCATGTCTGGTACAAAACAATTTAAACAAAGGACCCATTTGCAAAATCTCAATCTTTCAGCTTCACCAATGAATTTATAGCAAACTCTATCCTAACAATCTACTTCCTAAACCACCTAAAATAACTTTGCCTACAGGAACAATGCTGATATGAATTTCAAGTTATGCATTATTCGACATCTTTCTTTTTTAAAAAACTCACATTTCTCAACACAATCCCTAATCAATTCCAAGATCAAAAACCTTGCCCAACAAGGGCAATACATAGAAGCACTGAAATTATACTCAAAAAATCCAAACTGTCCTTTTAGTATAACTAAATTCACCTTCCCTTCAATTCTCAAGGCTTGTGCTTCACTGACAAATCTTCAATATGGAAAAACAATTCATTCGACAATCATTACCATGGGTCTACAATCTGACCCATATATTGCCACTTCTCTTATCAGTTTGTATGTTAAATGTGGGTCACTTCCACTTGCAGTTCATGTGTTTGATAAATTGTCGGAGAGGGAGGTTTTAGCTCAAGATATATCAATTTGGAACTCTATGATTGATGGGTACTTTAGATTTGGTCATATTATAGAGGGAATACATCAGTTTTGTCGAATGCAATCGTCGGGTATAAGACCTGATGGTTACACATTAAGTATTCTACTTGGGGTGTGTAGTAGTAGGGATTTGGGATGTAAAGAAGGAAGACAGATTCATGGTTATATCGTAAGGAACATTGGGAATGGTGACTCGTTCTTGGATACTGCAATAATTGATATGTACTTGACTTGGGGTCAGTTAAAATATGGTTGGCGAGTGTTTGTTATGCTGAGTAATAAGAGCAGTGTGGTAGTGTGGAATGTGATGATTGGTGGATTTTGTGAGAAGGGCTTATGGGAATGTAGCTTGGAATTGTATTCATTAGGGAAGAATGAGGATGTCAAATTTGTGTCAACTTCGTTTTCTGGTGCTTTGACTGCTTGTGGGAATGGTGAAGATGAGAGTTTTGGTATGCAGGTTCACTGTGATGTGATCAAAATGGGATTTCAAAGTGATCCTTATGTTTATACTTCTCTATTAACTATGTATGGCAAGTGCAAAATGATTGAAGCTGCAGAAGAAATTTTTCATCTGATACAAGAAAAAGAGATTGAAATATGGAATGCCATGATATCAGCTTACACTAATAATGGCTATGCTTATGATGCTTTGGAAGTTTATAAACAGATGACATTAAATGCAATCCCATCTGATTCTTTTTCAATTTTGAATATATTATCATCAAGCGGTACAATTGGACTACATGATTTTGGTAGGTCAGTTCATGCAGAATTAGTCAAAAGACCTATACAGAGTAATATTGCTTTACAAAGTGCCTTATTAACCATGTATGCTAAGTGTGGGAGTTATCCTGACGCTAAGTTGGTTTTCAGTACAATGAAGGAAAGGGATGTGGTTGCATTCAGCTCTATGATATCTGGTCTTTGTCATAACAGTAAGTTTGAGGAAGCTTTGGATTTTTTCAGAGGTATGGAGGTAGGTTTATTTAAACCAGATTCTAAAATTATGGTAAGTGTTATCAGTGCATGTTCAGGACTGGAGAATGTAGATTTGGGCAGACAGATCCATGGATTTGTTATCAAGTGTGGATTTCAACTGGATTTTTTTGTGGCTAGTTCCCTGATAGATATGTATTCCAAATGTGGTTCTGCGGAATTTGCAGGAAATGTATTTTCTGATATGCCACATAAAAATCTTGTTGCTTGGAATTCTATGATTTCATGTTATTGCCGCAATGGTCTACCAGAACTGTCAATTAAGTTTTTTCGTCAGATTGTGCAGCATGGCTTCTACCCAGATTCTGTATCCATCACAAGTGTTCTCGTTGCAGTTTCATCAATAGCAGCACTGCTTCAAGGGAAGATTGTTCATGGATATCTAACTAGACTGAAGATTCCATGTGATGTTCAAGTGGAGAATGCATTAATTGACATGTATATCAAGTGCGGATTCTTAAAATATGCGCTGTATATCTTTGAAAACATGTCTCAGAAAGACTTGGTAACATGGAATTCAATGATTGCTGGTTATGGATCTCATGGAGAATGCCTTAAAGCAGTGGAGCTTTTTGATCAGATGAAAAGATCAGGGGTAAGACCTGATGGTGTAACTTTTCTCTCCTTGCTTTCATCTTGCAACCATTCTGGTTCGGTAGAGTCAGGTCTGAATCTATTTCAATCCATGAAAGTGGACTACGGGATTGAACCTAAGATGGAGCATTATGTAAACATTGTTGATCTCCTAGGGCGTGCTGGACGCTTGGATGATGCCTACAGCTTTGTAAAAAGCATGCCCATTGAACCTGACAGGAGTGTTTGGTTGAGTTTGTTGTGTGCCTGTCGAGTTCATCGTAGTGTGGAGCTTGGAGAACTGGCAGCACAAAGCCTACTAAAGCTGGAGCCAAGCAGAGGCAGCAATTATGTTCAACTGTTACATCTGTATGGAGAAGCTGAAATGTGGGATCAAGCAGCCAACTTAAGAACCTTTATGAAAGAAAAAGGATTGAAGAAGAACCCTGGTGGCAGTTGGATTGAACTGAGGAACAAGGTTGATGTTTTCTTCTCCGGAGATTCATCATCGGAAAGCACTATTGAGATATATGAGACTTTAAATAGTCTTAGAAAGAACATGGAAAAGAAAACATGCGATTATGAAAGTGTTGAAGCCTACTGAGACCCCAAAAAATGAATTGTGTTTTGATATGAAAGTGCAGAAAGCTCATTAAGTGAGATTTCATGCTTGATTTTGTCATTGCTCCTTCCCCTACGCGATGCAAAGCAAAGTAACTAATATCATGAACTAAGAAATAGTCAATGCTTAATTGCTTATGGTTTTCAGACAGTTTTGGTAGAAATAAAACTATTAACAGTCCATAATCAGATGTTGCATTTGATTTAAACAATTTTGTCGCAAAAAAAAAGGAGTTAAGAAGATAACAATCCTAAACCATCCCATTTCAGTTAAATGCCGGACTGAAACAATTGTATGACATACAAAGGCTGCAAAAATATTTTGAATGTAATCTCATCCTAACTCTGTAGAATCACTGGAATTAGGATATTATGATGCATGCAATTCATGCTTCTTGAACAAATCAGTTTCTGCTATCAAGTAATTAACAACTATTAGCAAAGGCATTGCGTGTGGAAGAGCCTAAATGGTTCGGATTCTAAGTTTGTTTCCCCAAAAAGCTCCAAATCTTGAGTCTAGTTGTGATGCATTAACATCCACAAACATACGAGAGAACCTGTAATTGTGTTGAGGTACTTGAACTTCAACTGCCATTCAAGAACTTTTCTGTGTATCTTTCTCCCATTCAGTGCAAATAAGAGGTGTGATAATTGTTTTAGTGAGGGGACTCCTGAATTAAGTAGCTATTTGTACTTTTGAGTTAAACTGCAAAACAGGAGACTTGGGGCCATTACTCTCTTTTGTCCTCTTCAAGATCTTCACCTAGCCCAAACACATGAGGTTCTGCCACAATTGACACCTTCCTTTCCTTTCTTTCCACCTTGGTTGTTAAATCTCCCACCAGCATAACACTACTGCCAGTAAGTGAAATGCTCTCCTCTTCAAGGTCATCTCCTGTCTCTTCCGAAAATGAATATCTGCAAACCGCAAAAATCATCATCAAGTAGGGAAAAAAAAAGAATCTGTATTCCTCGAATTCTCTAAGCAAACCAGAGTGGCTCATGTATCCTTTTAAAGCACACATTAATACTCTAGAACGGGGAGTTCAATCAACCATTGAATATAGTTTTCCATAAATCTCCACAATAGATGCAAATGCTGCTCAAAACAAGTTCATCGAATAGCAGTCTGTAAGATAATGATGGGTTCCAAAGATGACCTATTTGGGTTATGTGACGGGGCCCAGAGAATGCATACTATCACCAAGAGAATATATGCAAGCAAAGTCCAGAAAGCTGGAATTATCCAAGCTCTTCGCCACAGTTCGTTCAATGGATCGGCTGCATTAAAGTACAACTGAACAACAACAAATTGCTTGAGTGTAAGTATATAACTTAAATAAGTATAGTGCAATTTACGGGTAATACGTTCCAGAAGCAAATCGGAATATGCAAGTGAACTTTAGTTAAGGTAAGAAGTAAAAATGATTTTGAACAAGGGGCTTTTTCTATCCTCAGTGAGAAGCTATTTGTGATTTAAATTAACATTATAAAATCATTGTTAGAAGCAAGAGAAGAAATAAAAAAATAAAATAATAATAATAAAAAAATAAAATCCGAAGAGAATAGAAATAATCTACCTCATAACCAATCCAAGCAACAGAAAGCAGAACTGTTACAGCAAGGGAGTTGGTAAACTTCCGGTACAGTGCAAATTTGGCCATGCTCTTTTTAATCTGTTAACAAAGCATAGGAAACAGCAGAATTGCTTAAGAAGTTAAATTTATAGGGCACATTATGTGTTTCTCTCTGTGCGTGTATGTGGCTGTGCACGCATATAGGATTAAAAAATGCAGGAAAATCAATCATTTTGTCAATCTAATGGGTTACCAGAACCAATCAAATTATTATATCGCACAGAACATCTTCGAGTATATAGCTTTTTAGAACTACCGCAATGCCTTAAATAAAATTTATAGTAGCATTAAAAAGCATTGATGCAGTGATATACATAGCAGTCGAGATTAACTTACCACATCTAATGATTTATCAGATGCTCAATTTATGCATTATTTATGACTACAATAGGTAATTCCTTTACCTTGTCAGATGGAAACATCTAGAAACACAATACATTCAATGTGCAAACTGCAAGGATGGAAATAATGCGCATGCAAATGAAGGTTACCTGGAGCTTCTCCAGAGTCTGGGATAAAGAAGAAAAGATCCAAACAATAAAGCATGCATCCAATAGTGAAACGGGAAGCACCAGAACTAGCCTTTCTTTCCCAGAAAAGTCATTGATGTTGCCCAAATGTTCAACAAGCCCAAGTGCTTCTGTAAAAGCAAAATATGTCACACCTAGAAGGATTATTTTTGCCGTTATACCACCAAGGGTAGGCTGCACAACCCCATAGCCCATAGAAACCACTAAAATAAGTAAACGGGAGACAGTCTTCTTAACAGCGGTGAAAGTAACTGCCCAAAGGGTAATTCCCATTGGCCTGCTCCCAGTTGAATTAAAATTTGCATACTCAAAATACCACAGAGCCATTTCGCACATCCCCAGACCAATGACAGCAGTGATGTGAAAGTGCAACTGTATTAAATGCTTCCAGTATTGTCCAAACCGGAGAAACCAGACAAGACCAAGTACAAGGTAGGCCAAAGACATCAAACCAGAAAATGTCATCAGTGGAGCCATCTTTCCAGGAAGATAACCTTCTGGGTTCCTCCAAACTGTTCTACCAGTAATTAGTATACCTTTGAGATCTGGATCACAAAACATAAAATACAAATAGTACATTCCAGTCTTATTGATTTCAATTGTTTCATGTGCCATGGTAGCCTCTTCATTTTGCCCTTCAAAGAATGTCTGAATTCGTTTTGGCCAATCAAGGTTGTACGGGTCTTGGTGGATGATCACCTCTCCCACCTTGCAGGCCCCATTCTTGGCAAGATCTGGAGTGCAGCAAATAGCATCAGAATTCAAATAAAAGCCCCCAATTCTTTCCCTATCTTTGACCTCAACTATTATAGCTTCCACCAATCCGGTTTTTTGCTGCATCTCATTCTTCTTTTCAGCAAACTCTTTTATTCTTCGAAAAGTGATTGATTCAAACCTGAATATACAAATGCCATAACAAATATAAATGCTACAAATAGTTTAAAGTATATCTAAGAACAAGAATTAGTTCAACTATTGCAATTTTCCAAGGATAAACAAATTTCTGCTTTACAAGAGCAGATGATGTAGAAATACAACATACCAATAATTTCTCATCAGAACATTGTGAAAAAATAACTAAGAACAAACATTGAAACATGAACAACGAGAAGATTATATATAATTATGTTTGAAAGTAAAAAAATAAAAAAAATTACAAGGTCTCTTTGTTTATGTGCTCAGTCTTAAAAATTTTAGTGGAGCAAGAAAACCAGAATGGGAATTTAAAAAGACTGTGGGTGAATACAACAAAAACGACAAACACAAATGGGACACTACAGGACAAAGAAGCTTAATAAATAAACACTCCATAAACAAAAATGCTTTCTTTGTATATACAAGCTACTCATCTTTTAACCAAAAATGGCCAATAACTTTAACAGAAAACAATATCATCCGGCAAGATTTAAATTTTCCTGGAAAAAAAACAAATCAGACATGTAGAGAAAGTACATTGTTTCACATTAACCTTATGAAACAACGAAACTCATAAAACAAAAAGCTTCCTTTGGACACTGCCTTTTATCTTAATTCCTATAAAAAATAAAAAAAATAAAAAAATTTCTTTTTAAACCAAAAATTGACTCGTTCACTTGGACAGAGAACCATATGATCCCGCAAAATTTAAACATTCCGAGGAAACAAATAGATCAAACAAGTAACGGAAAGAACATAGTTTCAGTATCACCTTATAAAGGACTTGCCCTTAAGGGGCTTATCTTCATTGGAAGTGGTATTTTCAGTATGAATGCCTTGAACCTTGGAGGCATAAAGGCCTTCACTGCCGCCGTGGAAGAAAAAAGAATTAGAGCGATGAATGAAACCTTCGTTTTTATATTCATGGATCGAAGCATTCACTTGGTTTATTAAAAAACAGCTGAAACATGTTATAACCATAGTTAGAATAATAAACCCATTTGAGAATGGATCAGACATGGTGTAACTCATTCTTTTCTCTGTCTTTTTTTTTTTTTTTTCTCGGGAAACAAACGCTCAGAAGAAAGGAACAAATAGAAGCAATAAAATAATACACGTGCGTTATAATACTTATCTAATTATCTAACGTCAGGATGTCTTTTGTAATTTCAGAAACCTCAAGATGATTTTTGTCATTATCCTAAGCCTCAGGGATGCCACATAATAACCCTAATTGGTCCAAGTTTCCATTTAACGCTTTAAATAATGGGCTTCACTTAAAGCCCATCAAGGCCATCAACACAAATTCAAAAAAGACCTATTAAATCAAACTGCGGTTGAGGAACATTGAACACTGNGTATCTAACGTCAGGATGTCTTTTGTAATTTCAGAAACCTCAAGGAGATTTTGTTATTATCTTAAACCTCAGGGATGCCACATAATAACCCTAATTGGTCCAAGTTTCCATTTAACGCTTTAAATAATGGGCTTCACTTAAAGCCCATCAAGGCCATCAACACAAATTCAAAAAAGACCTATTAAATCAAACTGCAGTTAAGGAACATTGAACACTGAGGGCGTAGAAGAAGACGGGAGATGGCTGCAAATGGAAGCATCAACTCCACAAAAAGGCAGTTGATAGTATCATCTCTCTGCAAACACTTTTCTTTAGACCCTGTAAGCCAAATTTATGCCATTTCTTTTATTTAATCAACCATATTATTCTTACAATTTGAACATTTTTTTTCTCTTTATTTTACGCTTTAATGAGCAAGATTTCTTCTCAGTTAATCTGTTTTAGTTAGTGGGTTGGCTTCAAATTGCTTGCTTTTATGTCATCTTAGCTTCAGTTGTCGAATAGATGTGTACTTACTGGCTGTTACTTAACTAGGTGTGTGTCTGCGTTCATTTTATTTTTAAACAAAACTTTCATCCATTGTCCATGAATTAACCCATTTTATTGGCTCGAATTACAATAAAAAAAATTGAAGGATATTAATTTTAAGGGGGAGCTTGTGAGCTTTTTCTCTTTCTGAAGTTCGTTGGTTTTATTAGGGAAAATTTGCTTGCTAAACTTAAATTTTATACCTTGCTTAATCGGTTTGTTGGTGCAGACAAAATTTGTGGGTGATGCTAAGGAGAGTGATATTAAGACTTTGTACTCAAGCATATCGAAGTCATCAGGAAAGGATTCCTCTTCGGCACACCATGATGAGGTAAGCTTTGTTGGATTTTTTGTGAGTATGTTCTAGCTGTTTCTTTACTTGGACAGTGAGAACAGCGTTATGATTCATAGGGTTGCATCAGATTGTGGCAAACTTGTGTATATGACTTGTAGGACTGACTTGCCCGGTTCTGGTAAAGAACATATTAATAAGATAAGGTTACTTGATAAAGAACTAGTATTTACTTAGTTTTGTCTTGTGCACGATCTTTTTTCACAAGGTCATTTAATTCATTCTTAGTTTTGTCTTATGCATGATTATTTTTGACAAGGTCATATTATTGATCCTTAATCAAAAAATTCTGACATTGGTTTAGGTGATGAAGTGGATAGAATTTGCAGAGAGTTTTCCTGCTGATTCTAAGGCATCCTTGGATGTTCTTAGCAAGTTTAATGAAGAGTTGACTTCAAAATCCGTGCTTTTGGGAAATGGATTGAGACCCTCTGAAGCTGAAGTTGTCGTGTTTTCCACACTACATTCTTTGGTGGTATGCACTTCTTCATCTTGTACTAATATTTTTTTATTTGGACCTTCATTCTTTTCATTTCTTGCTAGAGTTTTTGTTTAGACAACAATTGTTGGGGAACTATGATGCTTCCATCAAGTTTCAGTGAAGGACTTGAGGAAAATATTGCTGTTTCCATAGTAATCGTCTTAGCAACATTCTTGAAATTCTAATAACTTCATATATGATGCTTTTTACTAGATCGATCTTCCAAATGCAGACCAGGAAAAGTTGCCACATGTTCTGAGATGGATGGATTACATTCAGGTGGGGACACTTTGATCCTGATTATTGTCTTTTATGTAAAGTCATTAGGCTTTGTTAATTACATCCTTTGAAGGAAACCTATCGGGTGGAGTGATCTGCATAGCATTACACTTGAAGGTGGCTTCTTTTCAGATCCAAATATTCTAACTTGTGCTTGTAAATGTCTTGTCATTCGTTGTTACAGAGCAAGGAAGTTTTTGGGGAATTATTTGAAAAAATTGTTGTAGAGAAAGCTAGATTTGAGCCTGTGGTGAGTTCTTTTCTGTTATTATTTGTGTTCCCTTACAGTGTTGCGGGGTTTAATCCTGCTTTCTAGGACCATTGTCTTTCTACCTACCTAACCAAAAAAAAAAGAAAATCAGTTGTTAACTGCTTGTATAATATGCTATTGATTGAGTTATTTATGTTCATTCTTGGATATTGGGTGCATGGAGCTAAGGTTGAAGTAGAATCAAATGCTAAAAAGNGTCTTCCAAATGCAGACCAGGAAAAGTTGCCACATGTTCTGAGATGGATGGATTACATTCAGGTGGGGACACTTTGATCCTGATTATTGTCTTTTATGTAAAGTCATTAGGCTTTGTTATTTACATCCTTTGAAGGAAACCTATTGGGTGGAGTGATCTGCATAGCATTGCACTTGAAGGTGGCTTCTTTTCAGATCCAAATATTCTAACTTGTGCTTGTAAATGTCTTGTCATTCGTTGTTACAGAGCAAGGAAGTTTTTGGGGAATTATTTGAAAAAATTGTTGTAGAGAAAGCTAGATTTGAGCCTGTGGTGAGTTCTTTTCTGTTATTATTTGTGTTCCCTTACAGTGTTGTGGGGTTTAATCCTGCTTTCTAGGACCATTGTCTTTCTACCTACCTAACCAAAAAAAAAAGAAAATCAGTAGTTAACTGCTTGTATAATATGCTATTGATTGAGTTATTTATGTTCATTCTTGGATATTGGGTGCATGGAGCTAAGGTTGAAGTAGAATCAAATGCTAAAAAGACTACACAAAGCTCAAAAAATGCTGACAAGTCAGAAGCTGACTCAGATACAAAGACCACAGATGTGGGGGTAAGTTTCTGGGTTTATTTTAATACTTGTTATGAGTGTAGACCCCTTCATTATGAACTCCATTAAGAAATTGTTGTGAAATCATCTTACTTGATGATAAAGTACAAAGAAGAGAATATCCCTTTTAAACTTGCATTAGTTAACTATACCTTGTTTTGGGCATGAATGTGTAATTGATATTTTGTTGTTGAACTTTGAGAATTCCGTTAGCTACCACAGGGTTTCTGGATGTTTATCTTGTTTAAGCTCTTGGTCAATAACATGTCTGCATTTTTGTTTGATAACCTAAAGAAAAAGGGGGAAAAGGGAGCTACTCAAGAGAAGAAGCAATCAGTTGAAACAGAAGCAGTAGGGAAAGACAAAAAGAAAAAGGCTACGGGTGATAAGGATGCTACACAAGAAAAGAAAAAATCATCTGAAACTGAAGCTGCTGAGAAGGACAAAGAACTTAGTGTCAGTTTACTTAATATACAGGTTGGTCTAATTCGCAAAGCATGGAAGCATCCATCTGCTGATAGGTATGCTATATTTACAAGCTACTCTTTCTTTTCTTCACAAGCCCTAATTTATTCACGGGAAAAGTATTTATTGTGTATGTAATCTGGTCAAGGTAACCTTGGTTTTGAATTTTGAATTCCATGGCATGACTATAGATTCAAAATTGTTTTTAATCTAATCTCTTTACATGAATGGCAGTTTACTGGTTGAGGAGATAGATGTTGGAGAAGCTAAACTGCGGCAGGTGGTCAGTGGTTTGGCAAAGTATTGCAATCCAGATGAGTTGACGGTATTATGAGTTCTTGAATTGACTATATAATCTGTTACACGCACTTGTATTTACATTGGCTCAGTTCCATCTTCATAGTTTTCAAGTTTATCAATTTCTGAAGCTTATGTTCCTGTGGTGTTCTTTGATGTTGGCATGTTCTTTGAAGAATCGCCGTGTTGTGCTGATAACTAATGTGAAACCTGGAAAGCTACGAGATGTGGTGTCGGAAGGATTGGTAATCTATAGACAATTTTCTTCATATGTTTGTTGAATAAGAGTTCGGTTTGTATTCTGCTTAACTGGGGTGGTTGGGTTCTTGTCATGGCTTAAGCTCAACTGTTGCTCCTTGAAAAGACTTCTCACCCAGAAAAGGAGAAGATTGAACTCCTTGAAGAGACTCTTCTAGCCTAGAATAGGAGAAAATTAAATTTATATGACGGTTGCTCGTGAAAGGCTTTTGAATTACATCCTGGTTGAAACTCTTGTTCCATCATCCATACACTGCATCCTGATTGAAACCTGTTTTCTCACCACTCAGTTGGATCTTAAGTGGAATGATTATTAGAAATATTTTGCTGATTCTAGCTTTTGATAATATGACACAATAATTTATGCATTCCTGACTTTTTGAAGGACCTTTGATTTTATGCATAATTCTCTTCAAAATGTTGGATTGGAAATCAGTCCATAATATCCTCAGAAGAAGCCTTTTTTTTTTTCTTTCACTAGATAACTATTATACATATTCAGAAAACTTTAAGCATTGAGAATATTATGTGATTTTTAAATTTTCTTTTTATTTATCTATTTTTGGGGACTGCAGTTTTTAGTACTAATGTTACCTTGTGTTCTTAAACAATTCTAAAGCAATGAGGTTGATTTTTGTTTTATATATGATTCTTGTCTTTTAGGTGCTTTGTGCTTCAAAAGAAGATCACACTGTTGTAGAGCCTTTACTACCTCCAGAAGGGGCCAAACCTGGGGAGCGTGTTTCATTCTCTGGGTAAGTATGCCAAGTTACATAAAAATAAGAACTTGAATACACTGCCTAAATTTTGTGAAACTTATTGAGAGACAATTAACACTGATGGCAAGAAGGAACTAGGATTACATAAAACAACCACTGAAGGTGGCAAAAATTCCCGATTAAATGAGTAGCAGTAACTATTGTCAGCTTAACAGTAGTACTGTACACCATTCATTCAACCAGTAAATGAATTATGTTGTCATCGCTTACATTTATTCAGTTTTTGTTGTTGCAAATCGGGTTTTCTCCCTGTTGTCACCTGTACTTACAGACAATTGTCAATATTTTCATCCAGGATTGATGGAAAACCAGAGGACGTCCTAAACCCAAAAAAGAAGCAATTGGAGAAGATTACACCGGTATGTGTTCTCCTTTTTCTAGGCCTGTGAATGTTACATATAAGTTTGAAGTGCATACTTGGTATATTGATATTAGGTGACTGGAAAGTCTTCACGGAGTGAAGTGGGTTGTCATTTATACTTGCATAAAAACTGACAACGGCTTTCTCATGGTTGCAGCATCTGTTCACTGATGAGAAGTGTGTGGCCACATTTAAGGGCATACCATTTATGACATCTGCCGGACCATGCACATCATCCATTCCTAAGGCAAGCATCAAGTGATGACGATTATCTGTTGGGCCACAACCAAAAACTATAGCTCACCGATCACAAGATTTTGTTTTAGTTTCAAGCTTTACCTGTCAGTGGGTGGAAAGATAATGTTATAAACATGCTGTAATTTTTTTGTCATTTTCCATTGACTTCAAATGAGTTTGCATGCTACTATGTTATATGAATATAATGAAAGAAAGTTTCTGAGTCAACTCCCCGGGAATGGCTTAGATTTGGATTTTTTTCTTTCTATGCAATGCCGGTGCTTTCTTCTGCATGATTAAGATCAAGCATACATGACAAATATATACATTGATCAAGTGATATGGTTTTGCAGATTTTCATTTTATCTCATAAGCCCAATTGATAAATTGTCATTGTAGAACTCACAGATGACAAAGTCATTGAGAAGCTTTAATGGCAAATGAAAAGTTGGCCGCATACATTCACAGGTTTTTTTTTAAGAGAATCAAATATTATTGAGTTGAGAATAACATCACCCCCCACCAAAATCATCAGATTATGGTTTAGTCAATCGATCTAATCATATAATCCAAGGGTTCAAATAAAAGCCTAAAGGGTAGTGATTATCCTTGATATATAAGATTGACTCAACTAAATCAGTTTTAATAAGATTACAATGGAGATCCACACAAGTATTCCCATGATCCGTACAGCCTTTGTATGACCAAATTACAATTTGACAAAGATTTGGTTGATATGTAAAACATGTCCAAATATTCCCTAACCGAATAATGGTATATGCAACGTAATATATATATATATGTTTCATATAATTGAAAATATATATTATTCTGCATATCTTCCCCAGTTTGCCTCATTCAGATCAGATTGGAGATTGGATTTTTATTTTCTTGGCAGAAGAGAAGATTGATTCTGTAAACAAGCGAATTACAATCTCTTCATATCATATCAAATCAAATCACACACCACACCATTATCAACCCAGTTCACCTTTCTGTATAAAGTTTTTTTAAATAAAATAAAAATGTCAGAAATAAGAGAGAATCTAAAGTGAAATCTTCACTACCAGGAAAAGCAGGCTAGAATTAAGGCATGTCAAGAGAGTTGAGAAACGTTATACATGTGGTACAAAATCCCATATTACGTAGTGAATTATGGCAGCAATGCAATGCAATGCCAATGCATAATATATAATTATATATATATAAAAAGAAGAGATAGAAGGAGTCTTTGGGGAGAGAGAAAGATGGGATATGGAGGGAAGAATGGGACTGAATCAAATCATAAAGAGAAACCCAAAAAGGATCACGAAATATCTGTGATCTACTTCGATTTTATCATTCATTTATGTCCTGTGAAATTCATTCTCACCCACCAACCTGTCATCTTCATCGTTATTTCATTTTGCCTTTCTCTCTTCTCTATATATACACACACCACTCACCACCACCACCTTAAATAACGTTCATACATCTCCTGTGAATTTGTTTTCGTTTTGTTTTTTCTTTTCCCAGTTTTGTATAACTAACTGGACAGAACTCACTCTCCCTTAATTTACTGCAACATTTCGTTCATGGAGTTTAGTTGTGTTACATCCTCTTCATCAAAGCCTCATGTTTTAGCAGTTGATGATAATCTTGTTGATCGAAAATTGGTTGAGATGTTACTCAAGAAGTCCTCTTGCAAAGGTACATTATCTAAGCACTTCAATTATTTGATTAAGTTTTAGGCCTTTTACAAGTTGTGTTATAACAAATATTGCTTGATGTTGCAGTAACAACTGCAGAGAATGGGTTGAGGGCATTGGAATATCTGGGTTTGGTGGATGAACAAGAGAATTCCCTGGAGAGCAATGTGAGAAACTTTGCATAAATTTGTGTAGAAAATTATAGGGGTTTAAGTTTGGAAAAATATTCAAAGATTAATCTCATGGTGATGACTTATTTGTTTGTAGGAATCCAAGGTGAGTATGGTGATAACAGATTACTGTATGCCCGGAATGACAGGTTATGAGCTTCTAAAGAAAATCAAGGTATAGCTTTTAATCTTCAAGAATAATATACAATCTCAGTCATTAATTGTAGCTTCTAATTCTGTTTCATTCAAACGTACAATCAGGAATCTTCAACTACAAAGGGGGTTCCAGTTGTTGTAATGTCATCAGAGAACATCCCAACTCGAATTAACAAGTAATTATACGCAAATTTTACATATTCTTTTTCGATATGTTTCGATTGAGATTTCGTTTGTGAATCTAAAATTTCTCATTTATGACCAGGTGCTTAGAGGAAGGAGCTCAGATGTTCATGCTGAAGCCTTTGAAACCATCAGATGTGCAGAAATTGACATGTAATTTGGTGAATTGAAGAGATAGCTAATGACACAATTTGCAGGAGTTAGGAAGAACACCCACAAACACTATCTGATAAAGCAGGGGAAAAGTTGCAGAAGACCTTCCATACAACAGAATTTTTCATAAGATAAATTTGCTTCTGTAGCCGCAAATCCATCTTCTTTTCCTCTAACATTACTCTTTTAATACATTATTGTATGAGATTCTTAATGAAAATTTTTACTTTTTAATTGCTGTACTACATACACTTGTTAAATACGAAGTACAAACCCACCACAGAAAATTCCAAAAAGAAAAATTTTGGATTCTTTCTTTGTATGTAACTTCCATTTATTTGTTCTCCTTTCTCATTCTTGAGAATAATAGGAGTATATAAGAAGAAAGGTATGAATTTACATCAAAGACTAATCAAAATCAGGCCTTGAAATAACAATAATCTATAGAGTCAATGATAATATAGAAAGAAAAAAAAAAAACTAATGAAAATGCCTGTGGTGGTGGTGTTGATGTCTACGATCATCACATCCAAAGCACTGCAACACTGGATAACAGCTAACAAACAAGCATCTTCCAACCCCTCTACACACTGAACAAACTGCATAACATGGCCACAAACAACACGCCTTCAATCCTTTCTTCTTCTTCTTCTTCCTCCCTTTCATTTTACGACTTTGACACTCACTCATCCTTCTCCGATCACCAAGCAACAAGAACCAAAACCATTGACCAAAACTAAAACTACCCAAATGAGATATTGACCTGTTGGAAGAGAGGAGATGACAGACAGGACAGAGGGTTGGTGTGAGAGATTGATGAATATGTAATATGAAGAATATTCTTTGAGAGGCCAAGGCTTGTTCCGATGCAGTAGCTATTATTAGAAAGGGCAAGTTGAAACGCGTAGATAGCGTGTATGTTTAGCTTCTTTCTGTAATACCTGTCCAAACAAGAAAGTCTTTATTCTTTTCCCTTTGTGATTTGAAAATTTGGAAACCATTCTTCAACTACTGAACCTGAAGACACCTACCTAATCAAACGAGTTTATTTAAGTTTTCTTTGACTCAATTCTTATATAAATTACTTAGAAACATGAAAAGAGACTTCATTCAATACAAAGTTTAGGCCTTTTGATAATAACTATGATGGTAAGTTAATGGTTAGGGTGAGTTCTTAAAGCAAGTCACCATCCATCTTTCATGAAAAGACTTACTAAAAACTACAAGTAATTGATGCTTCCAAGTATCAAAAACATTAAAATGTAGAACTAAATCAACACGCCTATGCAAGCCATCATCATTTATTCATTTCTCAACTCTTCAAAAACTCGAGATTTTCATATAATTTTTTTTTTTTTTTTTTTTTTTTTTTGTTAGTCGAGGTATACATCTCTATTAACAACCGAGGGAAATCGAACTCAAGACATCTTAAATAATACACTCAAGAGTCATTATCGCCCTACCCGACTAGATTTTCATATAATTGGTCCTTCATGATTTTGGTTTTGTGCATGACAGAGTTTTAATGTAATCTTCATGAAGTGGAAAGGCCAATAAAATCTAAAATTGAAGATATCTTAAGTTATTTTTAATTAGATCATACCTACAAATTATAAACAAAATAACTTGTCTTGGCCTCTCAAAATAACCTAGGTTAAAAGAATGTGGCTGGTAAGACTTTAGTCATTTGGGTGAGTTACTGAGAGTTTTTATATTCGAGTCCCACAAAGTGGTCACCTATCATATTTATGACTTTCTTAGCTCATTGGATTTATAAGATGTTTAATAAATTTTAGAGATTAATTAAAGTACGTGCAAGTTGGCCTAAACATCTCGGTTATCGAAAAAAAAAAATTGGAAAACCATATGATATAATTTCATTGATATTTATCCAAGATTTCTCTCCAAATATAAAGAAAAATAGGGAAAAATTACTTTTAAGTCACACTCATCAAGCTAGTATCACAAGGTCCACGCACAAATGATAAAGCCCAATGAAGGCCCAAAACCATATACACAAACAAGCACAAAGAAAGATTGAGAAAGAGATAAAACAAGAACAAGAACAAGAACAAAACAGTGAAACTCAATCTCTCTGCAACAAATGGCAACATTTTTAGAGCCACAGTTGTTGTTGAAGTTGAACCTCAACCCAATCTTCACTTTAAAAACCTCTTACCCACAAACCCCACTTCACATTCACAATCTCAAACTCCCCAAGTCACTCTCCAACAATTCAACACTTGTTTTAACTCTCAACTCCATAACTACTGCCACTTCTTGTTTTGCTGCTGATCACTCTCCTTCCCTTCCTGGTGATTCTGACTCAAACCCAGTTGCTCTTACTGCCCCTGAAAGGACACGTGACCGTCGTAAAGTTGTTAGAGTTGCGTGGGAAAAATTAGTCAGATGGTCTCGCTCTTGGCGCTCCAAAGCCAAAACTGACATCCTTGAACGCACTAACAAGGTTTACTCCATCACAAAAACTTCAACTTTACAGCAGAATTTTGAGATATTACACTATCTTATTCATGGGGAACCCACAATTTAATTTGTTGTATCTGTGTATAGTAATATGGTATTTCCTTTCCTAAAAAATTGGGAGGGAATTGAGTTGTATCTTAATATTTTTATTATAGGAAAATTTGTTTAATATGATATTGAAATAACTATTTTAGACTTAGAACTGTAGAAATGTGAGAAAACAATTATTTCTTCCCTAATGTTGGTATAGGTGGTGGTGCTTGGAGGAGGGTCTTTTGGTACAGCAATGGCAGCTCATGTTGCCAATAGAAAGGCTCAATTGGAGGTTTACATGCTTGTGCGTGATCCTATTGTTTGTCAATCTATCAATGAGAAGCACTGTAATTTGTAAGTTTTATTATGTTTAAATCATTGTTTTAATTTAATGTTTTACTTTGATTATTACTTATATTGTGTTGCTTGAATATCTCTTATTAGTCGGTACTTCCCAGAACACAAACTACCGGAAAATGTGATTGCAACAACTGATGCCAAAACTGCTTTACTTGGCTCTGACTATTGCCTTCATGCAGTGCCTGTACAGGTCTTTCATATTCCTGTGCCTTTTTGTGCTTCATTTAGCCAGAATTTTTATGATTTGAGATGTGTTTCATATGCTTTTTCGAACATTATGTGGTTCTATTGCCTTTTATACTATTAATCTTCACCAGAAAGAATAGAAGTACAAATTTTTTTTACCTGTTGAATGAATGTTATGTATGATGCTGATGCGTTTGCCTGAATCTTGTCCCTGTTATCGCAGTTCAGTTCATCTTTTCTGGAGGGCATCGCAGATTATGTTGATCCAGGCTTACCTTTCATATCCCTCAGCAAAGGCTTAGAGCTAAACACATTGAGGATGATGTCTCAGATTATTCCCCAGGCATTGAGGAATCCTCGCCAACCTTTTATTGCGTTATCAGGTCCTTCATTTGCTCTGGAATTGATGAATAAATTACCAACAGGTGACCTACATTTATTGGGAAATTCTGATGTTGCAGAGAGTGGCAACTATAATGGAGCTATAATTCAAGTCATTAAGGTTTTGAGTGCTAACATATCAGTCTTGCTATTGATTTCTGCTTTTGCAGCAATGGTGGTAGCATCAAAAGACAAAAAATTGGCAAATTCCGCTCAGCAACTACTTGCTTCTAATCAATTAAGAATCAGCACTTCAAGGTAGATGATTTTTAAGCTCACTAAATTAAGTGAAATAAAGGATTTGCTTTTCATATGTAGCTGAAACACACAAGACATTCTATATTTCTATATCAATGTATTCATAAATCCTACCATTTTTAACTGCGAATATCATAGATTTCCAATCCCCCTTTCTGTTGGTGTAATATATGTTCTAGCGCTTTATGTTATGTAAGTTGGAAACCATATCTATTTTAAGTGTTGTGCTCAGCTTGTAACCCCTGATAACTCCAGTGATGTTACAGGGGTGGAAATTGCAGGTGCTCTAAAGAATGTGCTCGCGATAGCAGCAGGGATTGTGGAAGGGATGAATCTTGGCAATAATTCTATGGCAGCTCTTGTTGCTCAAGGTTGCTCTGAGATACGATGGCTGGCAACAAAGGTATATTGTATCTCTATGCTTTAAAGAGTTGCCCTCATCTGAATGGTGTTTTAGCTGCTATCATTTAGGTAATTCATTGTGATTTCTTTGAAGATCAATGTTTGCATATCCTTCCATTTTGTATTACTTCTAGTGGATGCTGCAGAAGCTGTGTGGATACATTTTTTTCTTTTTAATGGTTATTTTTGCATAACTTCGATTGGTTGGCCCAACCAGTTCTAACGGTTCTCATATTCCCATTCTGTAGGCTTTAACTCTATAGATTTCAATTCTTTTACGCTGCTTATTACAAGTAAATATTGTTTCTCTATTATCAATATCATCTCACAATTATTTCCCGCACTCCTTTTCTTGAAGATGGGTGCTAAGCCAACAACAATTACTGGTCTATCAGGGACCGGAGACATCATGCTTACATGTTTTGTAAATCTTTCAAGAAACAAAACAGTTGGCGTCCGTCTTGGATCAGGACAGAAGCTTGATGATATACTAAATTCGATGAATCAGGTATTTCTTAAACCTTTAGAAGTAATTGTTGCTACCCAAATTTTGGTAACCGGTGTGCTTATCTGGTATCTATGCTGTAGGTAGCTGAAGGTGTATCAACAGCTGGGGCTGTGATTGCACTGGCACAAAAGTATAAGGTCAAGATGCCAGTTTTGACAGCAGTTGCTCGGATCATAGATAATGAACTAACCCCGACAAAAGCTGTCTGTGAATTAATGAATCTCCCTCAGGTTATTTGAACTCTCGATTAAGTTCAATACTGCTAGCTTAATGGTTTAGCTGGATCTTTTATTCTCCTGTTATAAATCTGGTAATTTCTGTGTTGTAGGTTGAAGAAGTGTGAAACCTGGGGCCTCTGTCTATAGACATTCCATTGCTCCCGGAGCGAAAGCATTATAGTTTACCAATTTCAACTGAAGTATAGCAAATGATGTGAAGAAGAAAATTTTGACACATTCTATTATTACACAGCATTTTTCACTTGCTTAGAAAGGGAGATTTACTCCAAAATTTGTCCATGGAATTATTTTACTAGTAAGGCTATGCTAAAGATGTTAACTCTTCATTGAAAACTTTCTTATTATACCATCCATTCTTGATTAGATTCATTCATGAAGAAAATGAGCCATATATAGTGACTAATTGATGTAGCAAATTGAATTAGTTCATTGAACTTCTAGTGTTAAAACCAACAGAGCTTAGGGGTTGGAGGATCATAATTAATATCACAACACAAAGAAAGATTCAATTTCCAAATCTGTTAAAAGTTGTTGAGGACAAGGGTATGGTTTAATAGAAAGCTGTTTTTAGTAGCCCAAATCCATCAAGCTTTTAATGGTGCCTACAGCCTGAGCCTGAGTCCCTGAACCAGAAGGGAAGGGCATTAAAATCAATTTATTCCATCTTGCCAACTGTGCTCAAACACTGTGTATTGGACCCAAATATAAAGAAAGAAAGAGGCAAAAACGACAAAAGGTAGAGAACAAAATACGCATGAAGGGTGTGTCGTTTTACTGTCTGGCTTTACATTAAATTGCCTGGGGAGAAGAGCACCATTCCTATGTCATTCTCTTTATTTTTATCTCCACTTCGAAATTCCCGCTTCACTGTCCCTCTTAAAACCCTCTAAAAAATAACATCCCTTAAGCTGGTAGGTATCTCTCTGCCGTTACCCCATCATTAATTCACTTCCCTCCCATTTTCAGAAAATATGTGTTCCTTTGGGTAGGTTTAAAGTTTAATTAAACTGTGGTAATTAAAGCTGCATAAACGAATAAATACAAAACCTTTCTGCAAGTATATATTGTCTGTATCTCATATAACATTGATTGATGCTCTCAAGATAAAGTCAACCACATATATGCTTGGAGATGGAATATATGAAAGTGTACATGAAGACAAGTTCATATAATTAGACAAACCCACCTGAAAACGTCACCGTCTTTACCTTTTATTTTATTCTTTTTGTGATTGGAAGTGTCCGAACCTATATGGATTAATCCTCTCAGTGATCACTCTTATTAGTGCTTGAAGAGACTTGAACTTAGAAACTCATATTGGATTATTTTGCTCTTTTACTATCTAATCACCTAGACCTAGTGGTGGTTAAACCCCTCAAAACATCAACATAATTTGGAGTCAACCCAAAACTCATAATAGGTTCATGTTAACTCATTATTAATATCTTAATTGAAGCAGTTTATAGTTAGGTAAGGTAGTTACATGAGTTGAATTAGCATGGCATAATTCATATTTGTGTTTAGACAAATGAATGGGAGTAAAGTAATGATAGATAGCTACAAAGAGAGAATTTTCTCCAATGGTGTAATCAATGCAAACAACAGAAGAGAAGTTTCTGAAACATGGAGTTATGAGAGTGATGAGGTTAAAAAAAAAAAGCATGGATGGTAGGGTTAATTGGAGGGATTGCATTTATGAAAATTGCAGAGAGATAAAGAAAAGGAGGGGACCCTTTTTTTTTCTTTTGTGATGAATGGAAGCTTAAAAGCAAAAGGGTCAAGTCCTTCTCACAGACACACACTTCACTTCATTACCCATATTTCTTTATTGCCACCTACTTGCCTTTATTACTTTGCCTCTTCTCCATTCTCTCTTTCTTCTCCCTCTCTTTTGCTTCTATTTTCCCCTCTTGCCATTTCAATTCAACTCAAGATAATGCTCCACCACACCATTTTTACTTAAATTAATTAAAGATGGGAGATATTCTATTATTTTATTAGTAACATAATTAAAATCATATTTTTTTTTTTTTGTGATCGGGGTGTCCGAAACAATTTGGACGCACCTCAACTAATCCTCTAAAGTGTTAAAATTGACAACTGAGTTAATTCTCTTAGTAGTCACCCTAAGTGGATCGAACTTAAAACCTCCAAATAGGTCTTATTTAAGATTGACTACTGAACAACTCATTGAATATTGATTAGTTGGTGAGTATTTTTCTGAGTATTTTTATTTTTTTTTTTTCATTGTTGGCTATCGTTGGGTTGTAATCTACTTAAGGGTAATGTCATATCGGAGTTAGTTGTTAGTTGACTTTTTTCATCCATACCAAATTATCTAAATTCTAAAATGGTAATAAACTACGAAAATAACTATAATTAAAAATAAATGTAAAACAATTAGTAATTTGATGGAAAATACAAAGCCCATTTCTCTTAGTTCCCCAAAGATGCCACATATGCAACCCACCTTAAAAGAAGCAGCGCTGACATGTAATGCCACGTAGGAACTCATCCAAATTCCTCCACGTGTTCCACAATCTCATAAATTGCCCCCACCTAACTGCCTGGCCCACTTTCTTTCCCGTTAATAAAAACTTCAACTGCATTACTTTCTCACTCACATACAGCAAACCAATCTAAACAGACACAACTTTTTTTCTCTCTCTCTCTCTCTCTCTCTCTCTCCGGTGATTCTCACCGTAACCCTAAAGTTCCCGGAGAAGCTTTGAAGTTTTTCCGGTGAGTTTTGAAGTTATGAAATGTTGAAACTTTGTTGAAGTAACTGTCTTTTTTTTTTCTCTAAAGTTCTCTTCTTTTAACTCATTTCTCCACTTTTCTGCTTCAAATAACTATCAAACAGTGAGTTTAGCTTGTTTTAAGCTAAATTTCACATGGGTTGGTAGAAATTTTTCCTTTGGTTTCTGAAGTTTGTTGAGAAGCAAACAATGGGAACAATGCTGAAGAAGAAAAGCTTGTTTTTTGTATTTACATTTCTGGTACTAGCTCCGGTTTTCTCAAGATCTCTGAACCCATCTTTGAACGACGATGTCTTGGGGCTGATAGTGTTTAAAGCGGACATTCAAGATCCAAACTTGAAGCTTGCATCTTGGAATGAAGATGATGACAGTCCCTGCAACTGGGTCGGTGTCAAGTGCAACCCAAGATCCAACCGGGTCGTTGAGCTCACTCTTGACGGGTTCTCACTTTCAGGTCGGATTGGTCGTGGCCTTTTACAGCTTCAATTTCTCAGAAAGCTCTCACTTTCAAGTAACAATCTTACTGGAAACATTAGCCCTAATCTTGCAAAGCTTCAAAATCTAAGAACTGTTGATTTAAGCCACAATAGTTTATCTGGGTCTATTCCTGATGACTTTTTTAAACAATGTGGGTCATTGAGAACAATATCTTTGGCTAAAAATAAGTTTTCAGGCAAGATACCAAGTAGTTTGAGTTTATGTTCAACCCTTGCCGCTATTGACTTGTCTTCTAATCAGTTTTCTGGGGTTTTCCCTTCTGGGATTTGGGGTTTGAATGCTTTAAGGTCGCTTGATTTGTCAGATAATTTATTAGAGGGTGAGATTCCAAAAGGGGTTGAAAGTTTGAACAATTTGAGAGGGATTAACTTAAGTAAAAATAGGTTTTCTGGTTTTGTTCCAGATGGAATTGGGAGTTGTTTGCTGTTGAGGGCTATTGATTTTAGTGAGAATTCGTTTTCTGGGAATCTTCCTGAGACAATGCAGAAGCTTAGCTTGTGTAATTTTATGAATTTCAGGAAGAATTTGTTGTCTGGTGAGGTTCCTACGTGGGTTGGAGAAATGAAGAGCCTTGAGACTTTGGATCTTTCAGGGAATAAGTTTTCCGGTGAAGTACCCGTTTCAATAGGGAATCTCCAGTCGTTGAAGGTGTTAAATTTTTCTGCAAATGAGTTAACTGGGAGCTTGCCTGAATCTATAGCAAATTGTGTAAACCTTGTGGCCTTAGATTTTAGCCAGAATTTGATTAAGGGTGCTCTACCTCAATGGATTTTTAAATTGGGTTCTAAAGAAGTTTCTCTCTCGGTGGATAAAATTGGTGGAAGGATGGATGGTCCTTTAACTTCACCAAAAGGGAGCTCATTTGAAAGGCTACAAGTTTTGGATTTATCACATAATGGGTTTTCTGGCGAAATTGCTTCTGGCATTGGGGCTTTAAGCAGCCTGCAGCTGTTGAATCTGTCAAAGAACTCACTTGCTGGTCCTATCCCAGTGACTATCGGAGAGCTAAAGGCCCTGGGTGTCCTTGATTTGAGTGAGAATTGGTTGAACGGAACTGTTCCCGTGGAAATAGGTGGAGCTTATTCTCTGAAGGAATTGAGACTGGGGGGGAACTTCCTAGTTGGGAAAATCCCAACTACAATTGAAAACTGTTCGGCACTCACATCTCTGTAAGTTCTTCACTCTATCTTATATTTAAGCTTTTTTGTTTCGTTTGTTTTCGGCGGTTAATATTCATCTAAGAACAATTTTCAGAGCCTTGTTTACTAGCATTCTTAAATTAGAGAAAACAGATATCACATTTTCTTTCTTTTAACTGAGTTCTTTTTTTTTTTTTTTTTTTTTTTTTTTTTTTTTTTTTTTCCTTCTGTTCTATTGTAAAGGGTACTATCGAAGAACAACCTGACTGGCCCAATACCAGCAGCAATAGCAAAACTTGCAAATCTACAAAATGTGGATTTGTCCTTTAACAGCCTCAGTGGAAGCCTCCCCAAACAGTTGGCTAATCTCGTTCATCTTTTATCTTTCAACATTTCGAAGAACCATCTACAAGGTGAACTACCTGCTGGTGTGTTTTTTAACACCATAACACCTTCCTCTGTCTCTGGAAATCCATCTCTTTGTGGTTCTGCAGTCAATAAGTCTTGCCCTGCAGTCCTTCCCAAACCTATTGTTCTTAATCCGAACTCTTCCTCTGACGCCACACCTGATTCAGTAGCTCCAAATATGGGTCACAAAAGAATTATCCTCAGCATATCTGCTCTCATTGCTATTGGTGCAGCTGCTGTCATTGTCATTGGTGTGATTGCCATCACTGTCCTCAATCTCCGTGTTCGCTCATCAACATCTCGATCTGCAGCAGCCCTCACATTATCTGCTGGGGATGACTTTAGTCATTCCCCCACCACGGATGCCAACTCTGGCAAGCTTGTCATGTTTTCAGGGGAGCCCGACTTCAGTACAGGAGCACATGCTCTTCTCAATAAGGATTGTGAGCTTGGGCGTGGTGGGTTTGGAGCTGTCTACAGAACAGTCTTACGAGATGGGCGTGCAGTTGCAATAAAAAAGCTCACTGTCTCAAGTCTTGTCAAGTCCCAAGATGATTTTGAAAGAGAAGTTAAGAAACTGGCGAAAGTCAGGCACCCTAATCTTGTGGCTCTCGATGGTTATTATTGGACTCAATCGTTACAGCTCCTCATATATGAATTTGTCTCTGGTGGAAGTTTGTATAAGCATCTCCATGAGGGATCAGGTGGAAATTTCCTTACATGGAATGAGAGGTTCAATATAATTCTAGGGACTGCAAAAAGCCTGGCTCGCTTGCATCAGTCAAACATTATTCACTACAATATAAAATCAAGTAATGTCCTGATAGATAGCTCAGGTGAGCCTAAAGTTGGAGATTATGGCTTAGCAAGGTTGTTGCCAATGCTAGACAGATATGTTTTAAGCAGCAAGATCCAGAGTGCACTTGGCTACATGGCACCTGAATTTGCCTGCAGAACAGTGAAGATCACAGAGAAATGTGATGTGTATGGTTTCGGTGTCTTAGTTCTGGAGGTTGTTAGTGGGAAGAGGCCTGTGGAGTATATGGAAGACGATGTGGTGGTGCTTTGTGACATGGTAAGAGGAGCACTGGAAGAAGGCAGAGTAGAGGAATGTGTTGATGCAAGGTTGCAGGGAAAGTTCCCAGCAGAGGAGGCAATTCCAGTAATGAAATTAGGTTTGATATGCACATCACAAGTGCCATCTAATCGACCAGACATGGGAGAGGTAGTTAATATATTGGAACTGATCAGATGCCCTTCAGAAGGCCAAGAGGAATTGGGATGAATTATCTACTTAATATTTCAATAAATTAAGAGAAGGGATTTATTAATGGCTTGTCCGGCGAAGAGGAATCCGGTTTGTTCATTAGATTAGAGAGAAGAAGACTGATTGTTGTAATTTTTTTGCCTGTGTTGTTGTATTGTTTCTTCTCTTGCTTGTTTCCATTTTAATGTTTGTAATTCTTCTCTGTGTTATAGTTAGGTTACCGGATTCCTTTTCACCGGGTCCAATTCAGGACCCTTTATGAATATTGTTACCAATTACATATCTTCCTCTACCACATTTTGTGTCTGCTTCACTTTTAACATATTATGCAGTCTTTGGACAAACCATTTATCTGTTTTCTCACAAAGCAAAACTAGAAGTAAAATGAGGTCAACTGAAGTGATATTTGTTTTCTTTTTTGTACTTTTGTACCTTTTGGCAAATTTGGCTTCTTAATTCTTGTTGTAATGTAAGCTATAAAAAAAGTTGTCCCATTTATCAAAATCATGTGTTCCCAATGATAGCAATGGTGAAGGCATTAAAATAATGAATGTTTACAAGTCAAAAAGTGATTCAATAGCATAAAGGACTCTCAAAGATTCTTATCACCCACTTTGAAGCAAATAAATCTTTAGTGCTGAATAGAATAATGAAAAGGAGATAAAAATCAGTTGAGAAAAGTTAAAGGTGTGGGGGTAAAGAAAGAAGAGCCAGTGGCTTAAAGATGACATTTGTGAAGACATAGAAAATAGAATATTACACAACATGATGCTGTCGGAATAGAAGCTCTCTTTTTTTAATATCTATGTCATTAGCTTCTACTAATCAACCTTTTTCTAAATGTAAACTTTGTTTCTTTCATTTGAACTCTGATATGTTCCTTATTCCAATGAATTATAGATGGTTAACAGATTAACAGTGCTAACCTTCACATGGTTACCTCATTTTTTATAGCTCTAAAAAGAAAGTATACTCTTCTGTCCATGGAGAAAATCTGAGTCAAAGAATAAAAATTTAAGTGTCTGATAACTGATAAGCATGTGCAATGAGTTGTCCTTAGTGCATTTTAGCCACAACTGTTTATTTATAACAATGGGTGTTCGGCCCAAGAAAACATTAATAGAATAGCCTTGTGATAATCAACAAGCACATGGATATTTAATAATCTTTCATTTTGATTGTAGAGAAGGAATATGCAAGAATTAATGGAAATGACAGAAAGAAATACCAACTTTTTTGTATTATACTTGAAATGTTTGACCATATTATCTGTTACCTTGTCTTATATTTTAACCTTTTCAATACCCACCAGCTTGTCAAAGCTTTATAAAATAACATGAACCCAATATGCATGGCAGCACATAGCCCAATACCAAGGCCCCATACTCAAGTCTGATTCTCATCTCTCATGCATGCACACAAGTGCTGTGCGGCCACATTGCTTAATCAAATTCAAACTTTATTTTGTTAAAGCTAAAAGGGATAGCAAATTTGCTGCACTGATTGGAAAAAGAAGTGAATGGATTGGACATTAAAGAAAAGAAAGCATTATCACTGGGGTAAGGAGAAAGTGAAATATTGTTGGCCATAAACAAATATCTGCACTTAAAACCTTGTACTACTCCTTTTCTTTTTTTAAGTAGATTTCGATGTCTTAGCTTTATTGAGAAGCCAAATCACACCTTACAGCTTTTGTTAAGCACATACCAGTGGATGCCTGAGAGCACACTATGTTGGATTGGTGAGTGGAGGGACATTGAATTATGTACCCTTCCAATTTATTTACATAAATGAAGTTTATATATGCAACTTTAATATCTTTAAAGAGGTTTTCGACTTCGGGGAAATTCCTTTTATTCATCCATTGAAAGTCACGATTCTCAAGAGGGCACTCATGAAAGTCCATTAAAACCCCTTTTACTTTTAAAACCTCTAAGAGGATGGTCCAATGTACCTTCTGTTTCCTCCCAGGGAAAGAGAATCAAACATACTTGGTCTAGTAAAAGCAATTCAAGAGTTTCTCTTCCTTTTTTAAGATCCTTTTGGACATCTGCACTACTTTCACTGTGTTACATATTAACATGAATTCTGAAATTCCTAAAATCTTAGTAGCAGCAGAATCAGCTTAATTAAACAAGGTTAGGAGACTGATCGCTACAGTCATCCAGGAATGAGGAAAGTTAACATCAAAACCAATCTGCATACTCAGGATCATGGCCAATATTCATGCATGGTTCAGCCTAAACGCTGGAATTGAGAATGAGTGGAAAACCAATCCACTGGCTTTAATTATTTAGAACAAAGCTGTTAGACTGAGTTTTAGTTTTACCTCCCTAAGAAAAGATTAAGCACACTGCCACTGACGAATCAAATTATGACCACATGTATAAGTTCTATCACAGAATACAATATGAGATTACTTGGAAAAACATGTAGGAGGTAGCACCAAGATCCAATACTCCTGCAGCCCTAGGATTGCCAAGAGGGATGAGTTAAGGGTGAGGTATCAAAATCTCAGATAGCCCAGAAACAAAACCGTGCAGATCCAGCCCAAAGCAAACAATGTAAAACTATGTGAGAGTAAATCCTTACATAACAAAAGAAAAACAAACTTGTTTTGCACACCAAATTGTTTGATTAAGCCAAATTTAAACCTGCTTTAATCATGACAACATGATATGTATGAAACACTAAATTTTTTATCCCCAATCAGCCTGCTTGTCTTTCTTTGCTTCTACAATTCATTTTGTTCTGTTTGTGTTCTTTTTCTTTCTATTCCAAGTCAACGTGTAGAGTTTTTTTTATCCAATTTCTAGACTAATCAGTCCAATTTTTTTCCCACTTATGTTTATCATTAGACCTGGAATTTAAGCCATTTGCTGATACATTCCCCAGTCGATGTGCAACTGGTGACTTCACTGCCTTAGACTCATCCCACTCATCATCCCAACCGTCTTCCCAATCTTCTTGTTTTTCCAAATCTTCAGCTGAAATGGTCTCTGGCTTCCCCATTTCAAGTTCCTGATACGCTACTCCATTACTCTGCAGTCTGCTTTTCCTGGACTTGCAGCAGCAAGCCAATGTCACTCCAACAATAAGAACTGTTAAAAATAATAGGCAAGCTCCATAGACTAGAGTTCCTTGAGTGCTAAAAATAGAGAGCTTCTTAAATACTGAGGATCGCATGTAAATTACGCAGTCCCCGTTTCCAGCATTTACTACTATTGATAGACTTGCACCAACAACAGCTGAGACATTTATCTGAAACAAAAGCAGAATTGTAACTGATCAAAACTAGAGGTCTTGAAACATTTTTAATAATTCACAAACATTTTGGCCCCATTACACATCAGCTGTCTTATAACTTTACCACTAAAATGGAGGGTTCAACCCAAGAATAAACAGAAGAGGCTCTGGAAACACACCTTTTTGGCTTCATGTTGGGGTAATATCACTGAAAATGTAATATTAGAGTGTGGAACTGTAACATTCACTTTCCGAGAACCCTCTCCATCATTCTTGACAAACAGAAATGCTTCTTTGGGATCTACAGAGGAAAAGGATAGTTTAGCTTTGAATTAAAGATGACAGTTACACCAAAATTTTGGTACTAATTGGCTAGACTTTAAAAAGTATGCTGGCAGATTTTCCCCAGCACTCAACTGAGCAGGTGTTGCTATCTACAACAAAAATTTACATGTCATTCTTGGTTGAATAAACAAGACCTAAATTAACTGATAGCAACAGATTTAGAGTGCAAAGAACAAAGTGCACAAGACCTATAAAATTGAGTCTCTATGATGCTTAATAGTCTACAATTTTAGCATATGATTAGAACCATGCACCTTCCTTCTAACAGAAACTTGAGCTTTTGGTGGATGCTCATGAAAAACCATTTCAGATATGCACAGAAAGCTAAAGATCCCGCTCTGCGATACTTAAGGCATCCAAATTCAGAGGGCCTCAACTTAAATAGTTTAATGGTAAAGGACCACAATTCTGCTCTGATATAAATGACAACGATAATTTTTCCATGGCTGAAATAGAGGTCAGCATTTAAAGGACTGGCGCTAATTCTCCCCTGGGCTAATTTGTTCCTTTCTAGGTTGTGAATCATAGTTAATTACCTCTCCCGAAAAAGAATTGCGAAAACATATGATGGAATATGAAATCCAATGTGAATTAAATTAACATAAACTACAAAAAAAATAAACATTATTTCTTATCCAATTTTTGCTTGAAACGCAATTAGAATCTGTCATCAATGGTTGCAGTTCACAATACCTTCAAACAACTCAATATTCTCCAATGCATTCTCCAAGGTCCAAAACTTTGAGCGAGGGATAGGGATAAAAATATTAATGTTATGAAATTTTGAGCTTATCTTTCTCCTTTTTTCTTGTGATAATTAAACTCAGCAGCAATATAATTGCCTAGTAGAACTAAGTTTCAAATGTCCCTTCAAACATGTACAAAACTACAGTCTAGACATAATACATATGCAAGATGCAGATTATCCAACTAGTTAATAAAAAATTTCTTCACAAAAAATAAAAAACACTAAACTACCGCTTAGTTAAAATTTAATCAATGATATATTAGTTATATCAGTTCAACAAAAACACTTAAACAAAACCCAAAGCATATACAAAATTTTACCAGCTGTTGAAATCTGAAGGCAGGCAGTCAAGTTCTGGTCTTGGCACCCATTACCGCACCTATTCTCATCAACAGAACCGCCACCATTTGGTCCCGGCGCTGGTGCAGGCGCAGGCGCCGGCGAAGCACTACTTGACTGAGTCAACTTCCTCACATGACCAGCTGATGAAGAAACCTACACGTATATAAAGTAAAACCATGCAACTCTTAAATCAAGCACAAGTTTGGTTTCCAATAAAAAAACACATCAAATTTAACGTTACTACACCTTTGAATATCCATGTGTGGCTAGCTTTCGAAAGTTGAGAAACAAAGACGAGACACTTGAGGCATGAACAACTTTAGTATTATTATTATGAACAAGAGTCAGAACAAGAACGAAGAAGGTTACTGCAAGACTAGGGTTTGGATTCATTGTCTGCGATGAAAAGAAAGAGTTTGATGAGAATAAGAAAAGAAAGGAAGCATGTTGATTGAATTGACGGGTTGAAGTCAATGGCAAAGCGGAGTTTCTTTGGAGCTTCTGCCTCTTCTTCTTCGTAACGTCCGTAGTAGACATAATTTTTGACTTCTTTCTACTAATAATATTCAACTAATTAACGGTTGTGATCTATGCATGGGCTCGGATTTCTATTGACGTGGCACGTTTTTCTTCTTCGAGTTTGATTTTGTGGTTCCCACAATGAAGCGTACTCACAAAGCAGTTAGATGAAGAGGCCCACACTTGATTCCTCGTCCACACTTTTTGTTTATTAATACAAAGACAAAAACGACATCGTACACCATTCTTAAACCCTTCCTTTTCACGTCGTCGTTTCAGCTCTCTCCCTCTCCGTAGACCGTAATCTGTATCATTTTCATCCCCAAATGTAAAAACCCTAGAATCCACACTCGCTCAAGTAAACCTTCACTTTCTCCAAAATCAAACCTTCGATGTCCTCCGAAGACATCTCCCTCAACGGTCTGAACTCACAGCTCGTCTTTCAGGACGACGCCTTGCGCTTCAACTGTCAGCAGCAGCAACACCGGGTCGGTGATCCGGGTCCGAAGACCCGAGAACTCACTGGTTTCATCGACGACAAGATCTTCTCCGTCGACCGCGACCGTTATTTCCGATCCCAATCCGCAATTTACGACCCCGAACCCCACGACCGCAGGGACCCGCGAGACACACGAGACTGGAACGGCCACGCCACGTCACCGAGCACGGACGAGTCTGACGGCGAGGAAGACGATATTGACGATGAAGACGACGAGGCTGACGATGATCAAATCGAAGAAGCTCACAACAACACCAAGAAAAATAATAATAATAGTTGTAGTAATAATAATAACAAAAATAATAGTGCGAATTGTAGTGTGATTACGGGTGCAGTGGATAAAACGAAGAATGGGGGGTTTATTAAGAATTGTAATGGGGTGCAAACGGTTAATAATAGTATGGTGACGGTGGCGGAGGCGGATGGTGACGTATACTATTCACAGTATTTGCAAGGGAGTAATGAGGGCTCATCTGGGTCTGGACAGAAGGACTGTGTTATGGTGGATAATGGTTGTGGGATTAGTGGGTCTGGAGATTCGTTACGGACCATTTTGTCTGATCCTATCATGTAAGCTAAACCCATTTTGATTTTATTTTTAATGTTGATTTAGAGTGTGTATTTGGTAGTTTTAATTACTACTGGAGATAGAGTAGTTTGGACAAGTATAGTCCTTTGACACATTCTGTAATTGGTGACAACGAAGAACTTGCGTGATCTGGTGGTGGCATACGGGTTTTAGAGGCTAGTTTTGTGTTGCTTAGGTGGTTGTTTTTTATTGTGAATGTGGCCTCGGTGGGGAAGTTGCTCATGATAGCGTGTTGGCTGCCATGAGGCTTATGGAGATAGTTTAAGAAATTTGGCTTTGAGAATTTCACTATTAATGGCTGTTGGTATTTGTTGCTTTTTTGTTTTTATTACATTCTTAATTGATTCTTCAAATTAGTATAATGCATCTATCTTAATTCTGGAAATTCAGGGGAGCTCTCATGGATGATGCAATGATATTGCCTTGTGGACATTCTTTTGGAGCTGCTGGAATACAGCAAGTTCTTAGAAATGTGAGTTTTTAGTATTCTCCACCACCTTCTCTTTTATTTCTCTGAAATAGGAAATTGAAATATTATATGTTGCTTGCTCATGCGAAAGGATCTCTGTTAAAAAGTGCCCATTATGATTATTAGCTTGAAAAATCTCTAAACAAACCCTCACACCAGCATCTATATCAGGCCACCTTTATTCCTTATTCGTGTACTGTGTCTTGGGAAAATCTGTGTGCTTGATTCCTTAATAGTAGCACTAGCTTTTCTTGTCTTTTTAAGCATTTTCTCTAACCTTGTGAGCTATTTTCCTTCCTTGTACTCTTGGTAACATTTCACTGTCTTGGCATTATCCTAACCTACCAGTTTCTTAGATGCAATTATCTATGCCTGTGTGATTCTTACTAATGGAGTTTTTTTTATTTTTTAATTACTTTATCAGAAAGTTTGCTGCACCTGTTCACGTCCTGTTTCAGAAGACTCAGTAGCTCCAAATCTATGTAAGTATTTAAATATTCATTTGTTATGGAAGGAGATCCCTTCCCTTTAGAATTTTGAATGTCTCTGTTCTTTTGGCTCAGCTTACCAAATACCAAGTGTAAGTTCGTTAAATTGGGCAAAGATTGAAATTTCTATAGGTAGGCCAGCATAGGCATTGAAATTGATATCAGGGTTTACAGATTAAATGGTTTTGGAATAATAATGGTTTGTTCTTCATTATAGTTCAGACAGACCAGATGAAATCAGTATAATTATGCATAGATACTAAAGTCCTCAAGTACTTGCTCTGACAATCTTGTATGTCTCTTTACTGCTATATATTTCAGCTCTCCGAGCTGCTGTGCAGGCATTTCGTAGAGAGGAAGAATTACAATATTACCGCTCATGTAAGAGAAGAAGAGAAAGGTTTGACCAGGTTTGCCTCTTTGATTTGTCTTTCCAACATTTCAAATTTCATTAAAAACTAATTTGCATGGAAGCATGGTGATACATGAAGGAAAGAAGATTGAGCCGCTAGTTTATATTTTGCCTTGAGATGCTAACATAATCTGCATCTTTCTTGTTACTTAGCAGATATTTGCATACATAATCCTTTCTAATGTGATGTACCCCTTTCGGTTGGCCTTTCAAATGTGAAACCCTGTTGTCTTTACTATCTTTCAATATCTTTCATGCTTTTGGGTAGTGATTGTCAAGCTCTCTTGTTTCAAGCAGGAAACTCTGGGATTTACCTCTCACCATTATCATGCATACGACTTTCTTTTGAATGTCTTTTTTTTTTTCAATTTAGGACAAGGGTAATTTGGGTGATTCTTCTTTAATGGAAACTCCAAGGGGTCGAGGTGTTCAGTTTCCTTTTGCTGTAACAGATCGGGTTATCATAAAGGTTTCCTCATACCTTTTACTAAATAATGGTTGTTTTTTACTTAATGGAAATTCATAATCTGAGCAACAATGGATCAGGGGAACAAAAGGACACCACAACGCTTTGTTGGACGTGAGGCTGTTGTTACTACACAATGCTTAAATGGATGGTTAGTTGGTTTCCACTTTCCTTCCTGTTCATGACAGATTTTAAGATTTGGCATATAGTTGAAAGCTGATTCCCTCTAAACAGACGCAGAATTTAGTTGAACAAATTGTTTTAGGATTGAGTACATGCTCAGTTTTTTGTTTGTTTAATGATTATAAGATTGCCTTCCTTGAAAACGTTAGAATTATCTCCCAGTTATGGGTCTGGTTTCACTAACAAAATTCCTTAACAGGTATGTGGTGAAGACTTTGGACAACGCAGAAAGTGTAAAACTGCAGTATCGCTCGCTTACCAAGGTTTCTGATGATCTATCTGCCGCAAAGCCAATGTCAAGCAAGATGGCATCAAACTGGCTCTAGACCTGCTGTAAAGAAAATACTTAATACAGGGATGTGATACTTGGTTGAAAATATGCTACGTTTCAAATCTTCAATCTAACTCTTGCTCAAACAATTCTGTTTGTACGGTTACTACCTTTTTTTTCTGACAATCATTGTAATATGTCTTGTAAATTATAGAAAAAGCCCTTCCACATTGTAATCTGAGGACAATAATGCATTTGAGGTCTCAGTAGTACATAAATCAATTTTGATTTAATATTTGAGCAGCTATAAATACAAATTACATTATACAAATATTCAAGTGATTGTTGTTTCTTAAATATTAGAATATTATATTATTGGCAGCTGTCCTCTCTAACCCCCCCCCCACCCCACCCCCCCCGCGCCCCCGCGAAGGCCCCCACAAATTCATCTATAAGATTATGTAATTATGATTTGTGACATGATCCATAAACCATTACGAATGAAATCAAATTTCGTTCTGCCTTTAAGATTCAGCAAAGATAAAGTACAATTGAAGAACATGAAATGATTAAGTTACAATTCACACAACTTCTCGAACGCAAAATTCGAAGCTCTAACAATCAGATTATGGTATTAAACTATTGAAGTGATAAAGGAAGGGTAACAAGTGAAATTTAAAAATTAATGATCTCTATTTCTAATGTTACAGAGTAGCCATTCAGCAAAGGTTTTTTCTAATTACTACTTCGAAGAATGAACAGGGAGATTTCTCCACGAATGGGGAGGAAAAGTCAATATATTGAGCAGGGTCGGAGAGTCAACCACTGGAGTTAAGATCAGCAACAGGATACATTCTCCTTCGATGCTAAGAAATTACATGTTGAATAAATGGAAGCTGCAGCAGCCTTAACGGCTAAATCCTTCTCTGAGCTAACTGCTTTCCCTGATCTGCACAATGAAGGAAATGTTAAAACCTTATAAATGACTCATATGATATCACCTTTAGAGGCAGAGTTAAATGTAATAACGAATCATGAATAAGAGCCTTATGATTCAGCTAACATTACAGTGTCTAACCGTACAACTTGATCTCTACTATGGTCAATGGAAGCTGACATTTTATTAAGAGCAGTTAAAATTACTGTGCCATTGTTTGGTTTTTTCGACGGCCAATATTAAGGTTCAATCCGAAACTTATTGTGTTTTCTCCATATGTTCTAGATATAGAGCTGGATAAATAATAAGTTGTGCTCAATTTTCTTTCTAAAGTTATAAGCACAGAATCTGACATGACCGATGCAGTATATATGTATATACAATGCCCAAATAGCATTACCTGAAGTCATGTTCTGATATTCCCAGATGTTGAAAACCATAACCTGGAGTCCAATGGTTAAACTGCAGGCCTTGATCACAATGCACTTGCATTTCCTTTACTTGATTCAACCAAGTTTCCTGAAATTTAAAACCAAGAAACACATCAAAGTTGACTAACTACCTTTGTTGAAAATATATTGGAGAGAAAATTTGTTTAAAAAAAAGAAAAAAGAAAAAAGAAAGAAAGAAAGCAAGCTCTTTTATTCCAAAATGGACAGAAGAGAAAATTTTACATTAGTAATAGAAAAGAAAAGAGATTATGAAGATTAAGTAAAACAAAATCAAACCACTTAGCAACTCAATTGTCTTATTCAAATAAAAAGAGCTTTCATTGTTATTGACAAGATAAGGATAATTGGAACTACCTTCTCTACTCAAAATAAATAAATCACCTACGCCTAAATAACTCAATGAAAACCCTTATTTTCAAATCTATAAAAGAATCATTTGGGTAGATTATATGGCCTGAGACTCTTGACCCCAAAAATACCATAGATGTGAAGGCCATAAATTTTATTTTCTAGAAAACATCTTGAATAACATTTCTTAAAATTATGAATGAATAGCAACTGCTTCAACTAATACTCACAAGCTGCTTCTCTTCTTCAGTAAGTGCTTTATCCATCTGATCAAACAGTAGTCTCCATCTTTCTTGATGCAAATTTGCAGTTGAATTTTTTGAAAATCTATCAACAGAATTTTTTATGGCATTAGGATCATTCTCTACACCAGAGGAGAATTCTTTTGAAACTAAAAAAGGTAACTCTGTAGTAATTACAGCCCGGACTCTCTTCTTACTCCGACGCAATGCTGCAAGTATGAAACAGAATCCATTTTGTATAAATATAAAATCACCTTCTACTCCCAAAAACGTCCAGTAACAAATTTAAGAAAAGACCTTTACCTGAAAGTCGTCCTTTGATATCCTGATGAAGAAGTTCCAGCCATTGAGAAGCAACGGTTGCAGCTGAAAGAGCAGAGATGCATTTCATCAGTTAAAATGTTCTTTCAATTCCCATTATTGCATTCTTACTAGCTAAAACTAGGGATGCACAGTTAGACCTGTTGATATGCAAATCAAGTTGCACTACCAATTTTTGCTAACTACCCATTTGTTCGAGCTTCAAGGTACATTAGAAAATAAAGGCTCTCCCAACCCTTGTTTAATTGCTGTACTTCCAACATATGGTCTTTCTTATCTGACCACATGGAGGAGACAGTGAGCTTCTTAAAAAGGAAAAGTAATATGGCAACTAGATATTTAAGTGCTGACCTTTTACAGAAAGAGAAGCAGCACTCGCAAAGTTAGTCGGTTCCTCATTAGATAATGAGCTTGTATTCTCAGATGCCTTGGTTGAGGATGACAATTTCAGTGCTAATGCATCATCTTCATGATCTACCATGCTCGAGTCACCATCTCCACTTTTGTCCTCTGAAACTGAAGAATAAGATTTGTGCATTGGCATTGCATACCCACTTGTTTGCATGCTGAAAGTACTTGGAGGCCTATCATCTTGAGAATGTAAAAAGAGTCTATGTATTCCTGAATCATTCATATTTTCTGGGTCCTTGAAGTAACTGACATCTCTGCTTCCACTTCTTATATAGTTTGACTGCTTGCTTCCAGAATGACTATTTTCATGTTTTTCAGACCTTACTATGGCTTCTATAATGGAGTAGACCTGTTTTCTATTTCTTACATTGTTAATAATCCCTGGGTTCAATTCATTAAGCAGTCCACTTGGAGCTGCAATCTTGGTGAACCTGTCAACATTTTCTCTCTTTGCAATCTCCATCTTTTTCTTAAATGTGTCACTTTTACTTTTCCTCCCACGTTGTTTCGGCATTGGTGGAACTCCTCCATGAGAAGATGAGAGAACACTATTTTGCACTGATATGCCTCCATGAGAAGATGAGAGAACACTATTTTGCACTGATATGCCTCCATGAGATGATGAGAGGAAACCATTTTGCTTCATCTCCTTCCACACTCTCATTGGATCTTTCTCCTCCAATGGTGCTGTCGAACTCACACATTCAGAAAAATCTCTTGCTTTTAAATGATTATGATTCTTGTAGTGATAAAAGGGGTCTTGGTTAACTGAGCTAGCAACATCTTCTGCATTAAGATCCAAGCCAGTATTAATTGAGGATAAACAATTACTATCAGGTTCTCTATCGTGCTTCAACGGCAAAAATGATGGCTTGTCAGAATTCTCAGCACATTTAGGACTACCAACACAGCATGAACTATTTGCAATGCAAACTTTGGAATTGAGATCTAGCAGTCTCGGGGTATCATCTGCCACAACTGATGAAGCATTCCTTACAGTTCTTTCGACTTGGGAACCATCCAAATCCAAAGTAATAGGCAAATCAGTTACTTGGGACATCTCTTCTCCATCAGACTGAAGTTGATCGCTGACTTCTTTGGTTATCAAAGATTTTGCATGATGGGTATTGATTTCTGTGGCATAAATGCAAGAATCAACCAATTTGCGCATCAAACCATTGTCTCAATTAAACAACACTAGGTAAAAATACAATTCATCGAGCTGCTTGACTTTCAAATCAGAACAAATGAAAAACCCATATAAGTTTCCTAAAATTCACCATTGGAGTTTAATATAAATGCTAATTCAAAAATAAATAAATAAATAAAATTTCTATCAAAGAGACATAATTATTAAATAGTAATTTATATTAAGCACACAGAAACAACCAAAGTTAAACTCTTTGAAAATGCTTAATCCACTGACATCTGAAATCTGAACAAAAGTAAACTAAAAATCGAAAATTTGACTGTAATCACCTTGAGAATGTAACACAGAATCAAGATCTCTCATTTTAACTCGTTTTCTACCAACTTCATGTTTCTCATCCAATTCATCACCACTCCGCTTCTCACCAGTCACCTAAACCAACAAATAATAATAATAATAATAATAATAATAATAATCAACACCAAACCCAAGCCCAAAAACAAATTCTCTCATAATCACCCGAAACTAATAAAAAACCAACCTTTACACCGGATCTGGGCGCCAACAAAGACTGCTCCTCCATAATCTGAAAATCCCAATTGAAATTCAAGATTTTTACACAGACCCTTTCGCTAAAATCAAGAAACGAACGAAATCCAATAGCGAGTGAAAGAGAAGAGAAAGGATTGAAGAAGAATCAAGGCTGTTGTGGAAAAGGGTTTGGTAAGAAAAGTTAGGTTGAAAATAAGAATGAAAAGGAAGGAAGCGGGGGAAAGTGAGTTTAGGGTTTAAAAGAGAGAGTGAGAGAGCAGATCTGATTGGAGATATGATTTGAATTTTAAGAAGAGAGCGCGCAGGGCATGAAGAGCTGTCACAAGCGTATTGTCTGTACTCTACTGTTTGGATTCAGTTTGGATTAGTTTAGTTTAGTTTAAGATAAACAAAACAAAGGTGGGCTTTTTTCAAATTCAAAAACTCAAATTGGAGGGACAAACCATTACCATTTGCCACGCTTTTTCTTTATTTTCTTTTAAATTCACTTTGATCAAATTTTTTTAAGTTATGAAAAACCATTTCATATCTTTTTCTATTATATTTGATGCAGCGGAATTTCGATAAGCACAAAAACATTTTACAATAACGGCTCGAATCCACGACGAAACAATTCGTAAAATAACCATCAAAAATTTTTATTGAAAAAAACATTCATTATTGTTTGTAGAATAATAAGACTATTTATTATATTAAATTAATTCTAATGCTATTAGAACAAGAGGAAATATAAAATAAGAAATTAAAGTTTAATTAAATTCAAACTTCCTCAATAAAATAAACTCCAAATTAAAATAGAAAACTATTTAAATTCTTAAAATAAAACCAGAAATAAATATGAAAACCAGAAAGGAAAGTTTATAGTTATGAAAACTAGTATAGTTTTTCTTATACATTTGCCTTTTCATTTCCTGGAAAGTTTATAACAATTCAACGGACAATAAGAATGAGAGAGTATCAAAGCATATGTACCTCTGCAACTACAGTTTCCCCTCTGTAAACTTTATATGACTGAGGGGTGTAACCATTGACAACCCGGAAGTCAGAGGCTTCTCCATTAAAGTAGCTTGGAGAGAAGACTTGTAGCTGAGAAGACTTGTAGCTTAGTTTTCATTTGAAGAGAAGATACATCCTTAGGCTCTGAGCTTTTACAAATGACTTGTCAAAAAAAGAAACAAAACTGAGTTAGATGCTTCAACTTATAATCACACTGAAAACATTTTCTAAGTGTTCAGAACAACTGTAAGTATAGGAAACCAAGCAGGGTCTTTGGAGACATTGTCAAATAGAGTTATTTGAATAAAAGGAACGCGGTTGCAATGTTACAGAGATCATATGTCATATATTATTGTTTTGATTTCCGTTCTCACTCAAGTCTAGAAATGATCTTTCATCATCAAGAACTGGTGAGAGTTAATTCTTTGATAACATAATAGACATCAAATATAAAATATTCTCGTAATTCCTGAATCTTTGACTATGCTATAATCCTTACACAATTCAGGTAGATCTCATATATGGAATTTGGATAGGCACTAAATAAGTTTTAGCCATGAATGATATAAAGGCTTTTTGAATTGATCACTTCTGAATACACAATGAGACTTTTTGAATCTACAAGAATCTTGAAACATTTTTGAATTATTATTATTATTTTTTTTACGTAAGGAACATATTATTGTTTGTTTTATTATAAGAATCCTAACAAAAATTGATTTCCTTTTAACTTATCTAGGAAATTTCGGATTTGGATTCTTTTGTTGAGTAGATCTCTCCTTAACTTCTTATAAAAAAGTTAATCTCGTTGAAAACAGTAGCAAAGGATATAATCATATTTGGGAATTGAAAGAAGAAAAAGAAAAAGTTATGGATAATAATTCAGGAGGAAATATTACTAAACTTCGTCAAGATTTAAAGAGACTGGTAAAAGAAATTGAAGATCTCATTAACGCGCAAATCTGCAATTTGAGAAGAATAAAGAGTTATGTCCTTAATGAACAACAATTTAAGCTGGTTAAAGCACGTAAATACTTTTTAATTATATGTATATATGAATCTATGTTATTGTTTTTTTTACTCTTTCATGAAAAACTATTAAGTGATATTGTTTGTTGCAGGCAGGTACAGAGATGAATCCCTTGGAGGTTAAAGAATATAAACTTGATCAGGAGGAAAACAGAATATTTATTTTGATTGGAATGGATCTTCAAAGCGCAATCAAGGATAGTAACTTGACTGAAGTTGTTTTGGATGTGTTGAAAACCTGGGAAAAATCTCTTGAAGATTCAAAGAGATTGGAAATAAAAATTGAAGATCTCGATCTCGATAACGAAACAATGATTCTTGATGATAATGATGTACTAATTAGAAATCTGAGATCAGCTCAAGAAAATCACGCCACAATCGAAAGGCAGAGAGATGATTCATTCAAAAACTTGTTGCAAACTTTTGAAGCAATAGGAATGTTGATGGATGAGGAGAAGATGGAATATGCACTGGTATGTATATAATCAAACATGTGTATTTCTTGATTGAAAAATACATTGTTTTTTCATTAATTGTTTCTGATCTTCAATTGGGAATGGAAATGAGAGATTATCTACATCACGAGAGTGAGACAATTAGAACCACTGCGGAAGAGGTATGGAAGTATTGGGAAAGCCAAGTGAAGCCCTAGTTGCAATGTTAGACAAGTTATAGATATCATATGTCATATATTATTGTGTTTTGGATATCATATGTCATATAAAGTCTTTGATTATGTAGAGGAAATAATCTTTTTCGATTTGCTCCACAATGTTGAAGAAGAAAATTTTGTTTCTCTGTTGATGAAACATGGATCATCCATGAAGAAATAAATTGAATAATCTTTAATTAATTCGCATTTACAATTAATGATAGTTTTTGTCTACATCAATGTCCTCCATTCTTCTATTTTTTGGGCTTGACTTATATATAATCTCATGTCTTTATCAACGTTGTTTTGGTCTCTTCCCACCAATCACCATGTGCCCCATACTTTCTTATATAGTCCACATTAAATGTGCACTAATGTATAACAAGACAACATCATAAAAATTCAGAACCACCCTGTAGCCGGAAAAGATGTCTCCGGCTGTCAGAGTGCAAGTGCCATTGCTGCCAAACCACAAGCTGAGAAGCCGTGCATCCGTGTCCGGGCCTATGTTTAATGTGTCTACTAGTATTATTGGAGCTGAGATTATGTCCATTCCCGCCACCCTTAAGTTCCTTCGTGTCATAGCAGTTTTTGCGTGCGTTGACTGTGATCATTACTTGCTTGCTAGTATACACAGACAGGAGTTTGAACTCTTTTAAGTTGACAGCTCAATTGCCTCGACTTTAAACAATTCAGGTAGAAACTCATCCATTAAACTCAACTTTGCACGGATAATTTAAAAGAACAGAATAACAAATCAGGTTGGATATTTTTAAGAGGGAAGATCAAATAGGCCTGTGGTAAATACGTATGAATGGGAAAAAGTCAAAGGCCAGGATTCATGGGTTTGTTTAGGGTAATTCATATGCTCCACTAAAGAAATTCAACATCAGAGCAAGTTTGTTTAACAGTTCTACCATCCACTCAGACAGTCCACACCCACACCAATACAAATATACACATGTTGGCATGAGTAGGCCTCGCAGCCAAACGAATTACTAAGGTCATGAACAAAGCCATCAACGGTGCATGCCTTGCCTAGTACACAGTAATTTAATACACTATATTGTCCACTTTAGAGCAGAGAAACAATTTTTTTCAATACTAATCAGAGTCATAGACATATAGACGCCTATGATTTACCACCAGTTAAACAAAATAAGCAAACATAAAATATTGTTGTATATGAGAGACAAAAACAATTGCTCGAAGGATAAATTTTCAACTCATTTTCTTAGAGTCAACAAGGCACTTTATTAGAGTAAAACACATATCTCTTCTAAATTTGGAGATTGCTTTCTCACAAACTGAGGATGGTATATCATATCTCAGGGTAAGACACGTCTCTTCCAAATTAGGAGATTGCTTTCTCACAATCTGAGGATGATATATCATATCCCAAATCTTGGAATCTCTTTAGTAGGCTTGACTTGTATTCTTCGACATCACGTAATTGGAATCTCTTTAGTAGGCTTGACTTGTATTCCTCGATTTCTTGATCATTACATTGGGGAAATGGATATCTGCTCAGTACAAGTGTTGGTTGAGTGGACTTTATAACTGATATAACCCCAGCACGGTGTAAAGCTCCAACTGCTTCGTCTGTGTAACAGGACAATGGAAAAACAAATATTTGTAATAATAGGCATCACTTATTTTACTCCACATTTCAAACACAAAAGGTTTAATGCACTCTATAATAGTCATATCTTATGGATCTTTACATTCAATTTGCCCACTTCAAGGCATAATATAGCTTCTCATGGGTGATTGCTCAAGGTTCACTTACCCTACACAAGTTTGCCTCTCAACTATTGTTTGACAGATACAACATATTAGTTATCAGTTTGATTACCTTAGTCACACAGTAGTATCATATTCTCTTTTATATCCATAGATTAACTCATAAGAGCATCTGAATGCAAACATAACTAACCTGAGCTAGAAAGGGCAGCAAGAGCCTTCAGTGCGATTAGCCGTGTATCATAGTCTCTGCCTCTATTATCCCTCAACACATTTACAAGCGCCTCAGCACCACCAATCTCCACTATTTTCATCCTCCTTTCATCTGTGATCAATAGCAAACCAAAATTACAATAAGAGATGCAGTCCATAAACAATCTCCAATCTTAACAATAATGCCATTAAAGAAGAAAGAACAAATCTTTACCATCTGTTGCATGAAGTTCTAACATATGAGCTCCAATCATGTGATTAAAAGCACGGCATTTCAAAAGTGTCATAGCTACACTCAGATAATCTCCTAATTTTAGGAAATCATAAGATTAAGTTAAGAACCCTTCAAAGGCAGCAACTTTCAATAACATCAGCTAGTCGAAAATCAATTCTCATGTCCATGAAAAGAACACTAAATTGTAGATAACCCAAATAAGTTGCAAACCCAGCAAACACAGACATCACTAAGATGTATTTCAGTCCACAAGTCAATCAAGTGAAAAAGAAAAATTTTAAATTTCTTTGCAACCAAAGAGAGCATTAGCGAATCCAATTGTTACCCAGAAAAACACAAAAATAAAAAAATCCACCTTCGTCATTCTGATATGAGAAGTGACGGGATTGAACATGCCCAGGTCGTCTTCTACACAGAAACTGCAAAAAAAATAAGGAATTAAAATGAAGAATTAGAAGATAATAAGAAGTGAAGCAGGTGAGGGAAAGAAATTACAGTGGAGAGTCGGGATGCCAAGATATGCATGGTGTTATCTAACAGAAGAAGATTTGAGAGAGAATTAGGGCATCAGTGTATTGAAAGCAGAAACCAACTCCTCTTATATACTACCAAGGAAATAGTTGCATGATGACCAACTTTTCATTCCTTTCTCGCCCAAATCTCAATTCCGCTAAGTGACGTGGCCACCTAACAGCCTTTGGATGGTGATATCGTGAAAAATGCAGATCCTCAGAGCATACACCGTACTATTTTCTGATTTATAAACTATAATTATTTAAAAAATAAATAGACTTCTTTAGGGACATTGTCGAATTTCCTGGAAATAGACTTCTTGAATAGAAGTTACAGATATCATTTGCCATATATTATTGTTTGAGTTTCCATTGTATATTCTATTTTTATTATCATTGACCTATTCCTGGAAAAGATTTTTCATCATCAAGAGCTCATTCTTGAATAAGCTCCAGAGCTCCACCAATCTTATTGGGAAATGATTACACTTATTTGGAAAACAAAAGTGAAATAGGTCTTAGACTCTTGATCAATCCCATTTTAAGGTTTCAGTGGGAATATGCAAGCAAATATGAGAATGGTTAGCAGAGAGACAGGCCTTTGAACACTTTTTAAGTTGATAGCTCCATTGCCTCAACTTTAAACAATTCACGTAAAATCTCATCCATTGAACTCAACTTTTTATGGATAATATAAAAGAACAGAATAACAAATCAGGTTTGATAGAGGGAAGATCTAAGAGGCCTGTGGTAAATACGTCGGAATGGGGAAAAGTCAAAGGTTTGTTTAGGGTAATTCATATGATCCACTAAAGAAATTCAACATCAGAGCACGTTTGTTAAACAATTCCACCATCCACTCAAGACAATCCATACCCACACCAGTACATATATATACGCATGGCATGAGTCTGCCTCGCAGCCAAACGAATTACCAAGACCAAGAGCAAAGCCATCAACGGTGCAAGTGTTGCCTAGCCACAGTAATTTAATACACTATATTGTCAACTTTAGAGCAGAGAAACACGTTTTTTCAATACTAATCAGAGTCATCGGCATATAGACTCTTATGATTTACCACCAGTTACACAAAATAAGCAAACAGAAAATATTGTTGCATATGAGAGACAAAAACAATTGCATGAAGGATAAGTTTTCAACTCATTTTATTAGAGTGAACAAGAAGATACGAGGCACTTTAATTTTCCCTGGTAAAACAGATATCTCTTCCAAATTTGGGGATTGCTTTCTCACAAAACTGTGTCTCATGTTTAAAGTTGAACAAGCTAGTTTTATCATAACAAAATCTCAGGATGGTATATCATATCTCAGATCTTGGAATCTCTTGAGTAGGCTTGACTTATATTTCTCGATTTCAGCATCCTCAAAGGATTGTGGAGTGGACTTTATAGCTGATATTGCCCCAGCACGGTGTAAAGCTCCAACTGCTTCATCTGTGTAACAGGACAATGGGAAAACAAATATATGTAATAATAGGCATCACTTATTTTACTCCACATTTCAAACACACAAGGTTTAATGCACTCTATAATTGTAATATCTCATGGATCTCCACATTCAATTTGCCCACTTCAAGGAAGGATATAGCTTCACACAGGTGAGATTACTCATGGTTCACTTACCCTACCCAAGTTTGCCTCTCAACTATTGTTTGATAGATTCAACATATTGGAAGAGTTATAAATAAATTTATCAGTGTGATTGCCTTAGTCACAAAGTACTAACATATTCTGGAAAAAACAAACAAACTACAAACTTTTATATCCATAAGATTAAACTCATATGACCATCTGAATGTAAACATAACTAACCTGAGCCAGAAAGGGCAGCAAGAGCCTTCAGTGCTTCTTTCCGTGTACGATCGTCTCTAGCATCCCCCAACATATTTACAAGCTCCTGCTCTCCACGAATCTCCACTATTTTCATCCTCCTCTCATCTGTGATCAATAACAAACCAAAATTACAATATCAGATGCAGTCCTTAAACAGTCTCCAATCTTAACAATAATGCCATTAAAGAAGAAAGACCAAATCTTTACCATCTATTGCAAAACGGGCTAATCTAGAAGCTCCCATTCTTTTAAACAAGGGATCCTTGACTTTCAAAAGTGACACAGACTGTTGCATCAAATTATCTCCTAATTTTAGCAAATCATAAGATTAAGTTAAGAACCCTTCAAAGGAAGCAACTTTCAATAACATAAACTAATCGAAAATCGATTCAAGAAAATCAATTCTCATACCCATGTAAGGAAAGAACTGATAACCAACAGCAGTTGCAGTCCCAGCAAAGATCAATTTCAATAACCACCCTATCTTTCTTTCAGCTTCTTGTTCAATAGCGAGCTCATCTACAAGTCAATCAAGTTAAAAAGAAAAATTTTAATTTCTCTGCAACCAAACAGTGCATTACCGAATCAAATTATTACCCAGAAAAACACAAAAGTAAAAAATCCACCTTTCGCATTCTGGGATGAGAAGTTACGGGATTGAACATGCCCAGCTCTTCGTCTACACAGGTACTGCACAAAATTTCACAAAACAATAATTTAAAATGAAGAATTGGAAGATAATAATAAGTGAAGCAGAGTAAGAGTTAGAGGGAAAGAAACTACAGTGCTGAGTTGGGATGCAAACATGCGCATGGTGTTATCTTCCAAAACAAACTCTATTAAAGCTTTCTCTCTCTGAGAGTTTTTTGTCAATAGAGCTTCAACTCAGTTAACGCGTTTCACAGTGTTTGAGAGTTGAGACTGTGGAAGGAGACAATCTGACTGTTTAATTCAATTTACGTATATATTTTCTGATTCATAACCTAAGCTATAATTTAATTTAAAAATAAATAAATAAATAAAGCTGCTCTCAAATCTAATAGATTAGTTGTTGACTTGTGAAATTATCCAAAAATATGTTTCATATTAAGTTTAAATTAAAAGTTTTGTATTAGTATTTAACAGTTTATTATGAAAAGAGTGGAAATAATATATTCAATTGTAAGTACTATTATTTATATGACAAATTAATAAGATAATAAGAGAATGGATTTAAGTCCCAGGTCGATCAGTCCAGCAGTTTGGTGTTATTTTGCCTGTCCGTTATTGGTCCAAAGCGATGTTTAGACAATTATCGGGTCTTATATTGAACCGGACTGTTGGGGCTGGTTTGACGAGAAAATGTTGGAAACTGAAATGTGAGAGAATCCAGGAATTTGGTGACTGGTTTTAGACTTGACCTTTTTCTCTTTCTTTTATGAGCCATTGAATTAGATGTTTACTAGGGAATTTGGTACTGATTTTTTGTTTGGTTTTGTTGTATGTTAACAGCCGCTCAGACTTGAGATCAAGTCTTTGGTTTGCAACGGCTAGGGTTTTTTCGTATAGATCACGGGAGTGTGTTTGCCGGGTTTTTTCGTATAGATCGCGGGAGTGTGTTTGCCAAATTTCAAACCTGCAGGAACCGATGGAGATTTCTCAGGGTATTTCTGTTAACTTTCAAACTGACTGGATCACTGGTAGACCGGAAAACCGGCCCCTTGAACGGTTCAAGGGGCAGTCCGGGATTAAAAACATTGGACTATATTATGTTGAAAAAGAAATTAAATCTTTAATTGGCTGATTAATACTTAGAAATGTAGAATTATCATAACAAATATAGGAGTTATAACCTATTAAACACCATATTGAAGTGCTAATGGTGGGAGAATTCCAAGGAGATGGTGAACTAGCTGATACAAACAACTCTTTCACCTTCTGTAATTCAAAACTGGGTTAAGAAAGACTAGCTTCATTCTAATAAATGCCACTTTAATTTGACAAGAACCAAATTATACAGAAAACTATAACAAAAATAGAGAACAGAACTTCTGAAAATGGATCTTATGCTGTTGCCTGGTATGCCATCTGGAAAAATAACACTGTCCCTCATAGGACTTCATAAGTGAAACAACCATCTATTTCCTGTCCATGTACACAAAGACGTGTTGTTATGATTGTTGCGATAACATAATCTCTCAAAATGTAAATGCGACGATGATGCTACATGGACAATGTTACATCCATATGATAAAATATTAGTCCTAAAATTTATAGCTTTCCAGTTACAGGTCATGGCACAATGGATGAGTTAAGTTTTACTCAGAAAACGAAATCACCCACCAAAACTTCTATTTGGGTTTCTAAAAGACATACTTGTATCAAAGCTACTCAATATGCAACACTATTAAGTGAAACAATAAAGAACAGCGAGTTTTGACTGACCTTTTGCTCTTGAGTGGCACAACTAATCCTCTTTTCTCCAGACTTTTGTAGCGATCCTTTACAAGGGTGCAACAACCCTTCATGTAATAAAAAAGAAGAAGTAAAGTTTCATTTTTCAGGGTTTGCACAATAACATGTAACTTAAAGGATAATCAACAAGAATGAAAACTCAGCATACCTTTAGTTTTCTAAGGGAGCCAGTGATTTCTTCAGATAATAAGACTTGAGTAGGAGCTGGCTCAAATCTGTAATAAAATTGTTCGTTAATATATCAATTGTGCTGAAAGTACTATCACAAAGTTTTGCAAATACATACAACTGGAAAACCACAATTCTAAAAATATTTATGACATTTTTCAAAATATTGGGAAAACCTTCAGCTTCTAATCAGTTGGATGACCTCAATCTCCGTCCAGCTTCAGTTTTGCTTAAAGTTATACAACTTAAGATGCCTTAATTTAAACTAGTTATACGCCTCAAACTAGTTGGAGTGAAATAAAAGGATCCAAAAAATGCTGTTTTAGATATTGAAAAGTTCTTAGTTTCATGTTTTACTTTGGTGATCCACTTGGGAATGGAAACATACTAAAATCATGGAGAAAACATTACCCAGAAGATGATTCTACCAATCAAAATTCACTTTGTTACTTCAACATTTGCTTCTATTTATGCACTTAATAAGCAGGAAACCAAAAAGGAATAACAAAACTAAAAATATGTCAAATTTTTTTAAGAGGAAAGGAAAACAGCATACTTGTGCTTTCCCAAGCGTGGTGGACAAGCCTTTAATCTTTCTTGCTTAGCTACAACTCGGCGCAGATGTCTTTTCTGCTTCTCCTCGTCCTCTTTGGCTATTTCTTGAATAATATCATCCAAGCTGCAACCATAAGAAGAAAGAATTAGTTAAGATGTGATTATTACAAGTCGTAGTAGAAGAACAAAAGTATATTACCTGTCAATTTGTTTGGAAAGTCCCTCCACCTTTTTCGACGCAGATTCTTTTCTCTCCAGTTCTTTACGTTTAACTCTCTTATTCAACTCCACTCGAGTCACTGGCTTTGTTTTTTTAGATCTGCAACATAGCATTGACACTGGATGACCCCGAGGTATTTTTTATGTTCATTCAAGCCACTTTAATTTTATTGGAAGTAAAAGTGATGACAAGTATGCAAAGAACATCCCATCCCATGTTTGATAAGGGACAGAAAAGCAATGACATTTAAGAAAAGTTGCAAAACTATTATACAAGCAACGTGTCATTGCAGAAGAATTCTTCATTGTCAAACATCAAATTTAACAGAATCATTAACAACTAAAATAGCCAGTAAAACATAAAAAGCTAACCTGTTCTCAAGTTCAGTTTCTTCATTTTCGCTCAAATTCTCCACATTTTCATCATCACTGCCATTATCCACCTCAAGAAAGTATCTCTAAAAGTAATAATTTTTTGTAAGGCTCTGGTTAAGGCATATAATTAAAAATGCAGATTGAAGTACTTCACAATTTTTAGGGGACATCATACAATCACAATACTCACACCACAGAGTTCTTAAATAAATGATAAGTGCAAGAAACAAAAGCAACTCACATCTTCTTCATCAATCACTTTTCCTGGAACAGTTATAGGAACTGGTTTAGGACCCAATTCATTTTGATAGATTTTCTGCATTTCTTCAGCAACAGCTACAGCCAATGATTCCTGGATTGAGATAAACGAGATGAACAGGTTACTTTCTGGAAACTATATGAGCCAGCAAATAAGAAAGCATCAAACAAACATTGAATTTACCTGATGACTTTCAAATGAGGGATTGAATGAGCACCCTGCAGGTTCAACTTCTACTGCTGGAATAACCGAAGGTTTAGAGACCTGTCAATGGCTCTACTGTCAACTAACAACCATCACAAAGCTAAATATAAATGCCCATCATCTTAAAAGTACATTCAAACATTGCCTCTATGATTCAGAATGACTTAATGACATCATGGATTTCATGTTATATACCAATGAGATAAAACACAATGAAATTAAAGAAAAAAAACAAAAATGATATCTACAGTGTCACATGTAGAATAGATGCTCAAAAGCAATTATGGCAGCAAAAAGGCATTTCACAATTGCATTTAAATAGTAGTAACAATAGTTTACCTTTTTCGATTTATTGTCACCTTCACCTGCAAAATTTTCATAAGAAGTGTCTCAAACACATAATCTAAAAATAAAACCCCTGAAAATGCTAAAACTGATGGTTGTGCAAAATACCTTCATTTGACCAAATGTCAGCCATGCCAGAATCACTGCTACCATCACCCTAGAGAAAATAAATTGAAACGCATAATCAGTTTCATCCAATATAGAAACATATTGATATTACTCGTATAATTGCTGACCTTGGGAATATCTTGAGTCAAAAGTTTTTCTTTTGCAATGCCTTTATCTTTTTTCTTCGATTTCTTCTGCTTTGACTTGGATGATGGCAATGCTTGAACAAAGGGATTCTTTTGCAGTACACTATCACATCGCAGCACCTTCTCCCTATGTTTCTCAATCTTCCTCTTCACAGAAAGATCTGGCATGAAAAAAACCGAGAAATTCAAGTCACAAAAATAACAAAACCAATAAACCTAGAGCAATGATTCTCACAAGCAAAAGTTCACTGGTTTCATAAGCAAAATCTTTACATTCTGAAACCTAATAGCAATACTCATAAGCTTTCATCTTATCACCATCAACAACTAGAGTATAGCTTTCCACTTAAATTTTCAGCTTCTTCCAATTATGTTAACTTATATTAATACTAAGCATAATTTAAAAAAAAAAAAAAACAAATTCAAAGTTAAGATAAATAAAGACAGAAACAAACGAAAGAGAGAAAAAACATACAAATTAACATCTAAATTACTTGTTTTTCACAAGCAAAACCCTTAATTCTCTGAAAGCTTATAAAAACACGCATGAGTTCTCAACCTTATAATATTGCTTTCGCTTAAATTTTCAATAGTTTGTTACTCAGCTCATAAAGAAATGAAAAAAAAAATAAAACAACCCATATTGAGTTAAAAGGTTAAGGTTAAAGCAGAGCTAACCTTTGGACTTGTCAACAAAGAAAAGTGATTCGTTAGGAAGCTGAGAGAGAGAACCACCAGAGAGCGCATCTTTAGTTGATTTCTCAAAGTAATCTTCTATGTCCTCTGTGCTTATGTTTGCCCTCCATGCTTTCTTTCCCTTTCTCGACCCTTTAGCTTTCTTCCCCATCTCCACTCTTCTTCTCCTTGTCTGCGCACTAAAAGAGGCCAAACGGTGAAGAAGAAGAAGCAGCTTTTATATCATTCTATGATTCTCGACCTTTTAATTGGGCCGGGTCGGGCTCCTTTTTGCTGGGCTGAGTTGGGCTGAGCCCCAACCTTCTAGATACACCACAAATTACTCTAAACCCAGGTTTAATAGAAAACTTCCGAAAAGTGGACACCCGTCACCATAGTTCATAGCTCTCACTTAAACAAATTTATTAATTTAATAATTCCCCGACAATCTGCAGAATTTAAAGATAAATAATTTTTATTATAACAATTCCTAATGCATCCAGGGCTCCTGGATTACAATCCTGGAGGATAAAATCCAATGGCTGAGAGAGAGACAGCATGTGGGCGGTAGGGTCTGAAACATGTAGCAGGCAAAAACAAAACCGGGGAAAGTGGAGCCTCTAGTTTAAAGTAAGTTTCGGTGTTCCAAGAAAAGTGAAAACTAAATCCAGGGGCCGTAAAAAGTTACACCTCTCAACATCATTCCTTGATCTATAAATACCAAAGTCTCTTGCTTCTTCCTTACTCACTCAATCCAGTTTTCAAGTATTTGGTACAAGAAAAAGAAGAAAAAAAAAAGAGCACTCAGCTAGAAGAAGATGGAGGCTGTTCAGTCCTGGGTTTCTGATCACAAGCTCACCAGCATTGGTAAGTAGAGACTATTCTGTATTTATGAGAGCGTCTATATTAGAGAATGACTCGATAGTTAGTTATTAGATTAATTTATGATGATGCGAATGTTTTGCAGGAGGAATATGGGCAACGGCTATTGGGGCATCACTGGCTTATACACGTAAAAGGACTCCTCTGAAGCCAAGCCTGAGGCTTATTCATGCCAGGATGCATGCACAAGCAATAACATTGGCTGTGCTTTCGGGTGCTGCAGCTTATCATTATTATGAAAAGAGTGGAACCAAACAGGAACAGAATGCTGATAGTTCCGCAAAGATTCACCACCCTGGGGCCTGATTGGGATGCCTCTAATTAAAGCATCAGTTTTTCATGATGATAATGTAAACTAGCTACTATAGTATAGCTAGTAAATTATGATAATGATGATAAATGTAGTAGTTTAACATATTTTAATGTACTTTTCAGATAAGCTTTCTTATATTATATGTCACTCCATGTTATAAGATTGTAATATGAATTAAAATATGAAAATCGAAACCTTCGAGCCAATGGTATTTAACCTCGGAGATGGTAAAGAATTGTTCTTTACTGCACATATTGAGGAGCAGGTACAAGGAAACAAGTAGATTTCACCATCAATCCGTGGGCTATTTTCATTTCTCTTTGAATATAAGTCATTTTACACGGTTCTATTATTTGCTGTTGGCTCGGGCCACCAAAGTCTGGAAACCTTACCCGTTCATGCTTGTTTAACAAACCCAAAAATTGATGGCTTGAATAATAATTTATATTCTGAGTATGTGATAGATCATGATCAAACAAATTCCATATATGTTGATGATCAAGGGATGGTTATCATAGATGATGATGTGGGCTAGCTACCAGGCTGGCTTAAGAAATTATATAGAGACAAAAGAGAGTGGTCAACACAAAGAGGTGGGTTGCCATGAACATATTTGCTGTTTGTGAGGTTGGAAAGTCCTTTTCTGCTTCCTAACTTTCTGATTCTTCTCTAAACAAACCCCTTTGTTTATTATCTTTCTTTCTGTATAACTTACTCCATTAGACATGGTCACCAACTTCCCCCAACTTTCTTTTACCTCTTTCACAATCTAATCCTCATCTTTCTATACACTATCACCTCAAAGTCCACATGATTAAAGGATGGTTTAGTCATTTCCTTTAAAATAAAATATGCCCACCTCAATCATTATGGCTCTTTTGTTAACTTGATTAAAAAATTGGTTCAACTAATAACAAGGTTTAACAAACCTAAAGTATTATTAACAATCAAGGCAAATGTCAGGAGGTTCTTATATCGAGTTCTTCAGAACAACAAACAACTTCTTCTCCTTCTCCTTCTCCTTCTTCTTGTTCATAGTTTTGTGTAGATATGGATTGCTCTATTTGCAGCTCCATGCCATTTATGTTAAGGCCTCCGAGGAACACCATATGTGGAGCTTGTTTTGAGGGAGCTAAAAGTGTAATCACATTGATGAACAAGATTGAAGGTGATCATAATAAAGCAGCTGCTGATAAATCCAGTAATTCTGTGTTTTCTTCATCAAATTCTTGTAAGGCAAGCTCTGTTTTCATGTTATTTTACAATTGCGTTTGTTGCTTTGGCAAGTTTGATTGTTTAGTTTTATGATTTAGGAAGCTTGCTATCTTTTAGCCCATGAATATAAAGGTTATGACAGTCTAGAGATCAAACAAAATAATCTAAATTTTAAATCAGTTGAAAATATTGCCCCTATTTTACCTTAAATGAAGAAGAATATATATGATAACTATTGAAATAGAAGTGGCAATTTAAGTTAAAGCCCAATCCATGCTTAAATTGGGCTAAAAAGATACTAAATGATCCTAAAACTTTTGGCCCAACTAGTGGGTTCTATTGGGGTCTATGCCTAACCAATATGGTAGTTTTTAATACTAATTTTGGATGAGCAAGTTAGAAAACATTCATTTAAGCATATTATTGTTGAATTTCACAATCCAATGCTTAATTTTGGGTTCATAATCTTAAAATTAGCTGGGATGATTAATAAAAGTATAAAAATTCTTTGCCAGGTTATATCTTGCAGCCATAAAATATATGTCGACTATTAATTATGTCTTTCTTTGAACATGATCATAAATCATGATCTATTTCTTGTTGTATTAATGCTCTTAGCCACTAGCAAACCTTCTAAAAATGGTGAACAGCATGAAAGAAGTAGAAGTGGAGCTGAACAAGAAATTAAATTTTCTTAGTGGGTTTGTTACTGCATTCAGAGAACAAATTCACACCGATATACAAATCAAGCCTGGCAATAATGGACCTCCGCTTCCTGCACATAGAGCTTTACTGGTAACTCTCTATTAATTTTCCTGCCCTTTCTTCTATCTTGTGGACCTTTTCTTATTTTTTTTGTGAATTTATGCGTTATATATGCAGGCGGCAAGATCAGAAATCTTCAAAAACATGCTAGATTCAGATGGATGCAAGGCTCCACCAAGTGATGACACCATTACGCTCCCAGAGTTGAACCACGAGGAACTTGAATCTCTTCTTGATTTCCTCTACAGTGGGAGCTTGGCTACAGACAAAATGGAGAAGCATGTTTATTCATTGTTTCTTGCAGCTGACAAGTATGAGATTCCATACTTGCAGGAGTTTTGTGAGCGGCATATGCTTGCTTCCTTGAACTCGTCAAATGTCCTTGATGTTCTTGAAATCTCAGACGTTTGTTCTAATAAAACTTTGAAGGAGACTGCCTTGAACTTCATTGTCAGAAACATGGAGGACATTGTTTTCTCACCTAAATATGAAGCTTTTGCTCCCAAAAATGCTCATTTAAGTGTACAAATCACAAGGGCTTTTCTTTTGGATGCTAAAACCAGGAGAATCAATGCTTAATTATGATTGGATATCTTATATGATTGATCAATGAAATAAATATTTTTTTTTATTCTTATAATAAGATTGTAATTAATTAGAGCTCTGACATCAAATTCACCTGATGTTATTAATTAAAGATTTAATACAAGAGTTTGTGCAGTTTATTGCGAGATCCGTGATATTAATTATGTATAATTTATTGTTTAAATGGGTCCTAATTAGACAGTGAAATCTACATATCATTCCATGTTTCCTGGAATTGCTTCCCAACTTCACTACTCGTGACAAAAAGATTACCTAATCTCTATTAATGATATTATTTTTTATCTTCTGATTTGATCTAAATCAAAGGGAAATCAAAAGTTAATTTTGTCTTTACATTGAATATTCAAAGTTAATTGGGAGATTGATAATCAGTAATATGAACTAGAAGATCCGGTAAAGTTTAATCTCTTCCTTATTATACAGTAACTTTTTTTTTTTTCATTTTGACACGTGAACCCCATTCCACAGATTCATATTTAACCTCCAAGAACAAGCACATGAAATCTTCTTAATTTTAATGAAAATATATATAAACTATGTGAAATCTTCTTTAACTGTTTGCATTGCATGAATGAGTACTGCTTGTACTTGTAACGTAAGACAATTATGAATTTAATTTAGATTTGCGATCTTCATTCACTTTGGACTTAAACTCAAAATTAAAGATGAATTTCTTGGTTAACAACAACATTGCCAGCCTTGGCCTTGCTAAAACACAAATTAAAAGAAAGTGGAGAGCTATATTTTATATAAATATATATAAGAACACTTATGTTATTGATTACTCTTGTTGATCAGCATTTCTACTCCAGTTTCTAATGGCTTTCAATAAGGCTTGTTTCACCCCTTGAGCGTCAATGCTTTCACCATTTTCTTCATCCTGCAACGAGTAAAAACATGATCGTATCAATACATGGAGAGACGTATACATTGATTCTTCATGAAATAATTAAATTAAGAGGTTGTTTTAATTCTTACTAATTCTCCGCCAACTGCTTGTAAGCTAAATGTGTCTGTACAAGAAACCCTAGCGTCCAGCACATTAAGACCCAGTTCTTCAAAGGCTTCTAATATGAACACAAGTAGGCCTTGGCAACTTTTCTTCGAAAGCACATTTATAAGAATACCCTTTTCTAGGTTTTCTACAGTAACCTGCTGTGAACACATAGACACAGAACTTACATCGATTACTAGCATAGTTGTTGCCAAGAAAAAGAACAGTAGATGATTAATAAATTGATTGACTTTATGAAGTAGAAAAATAGATGGAGCATACAATAGGCAAAGGGTTTTGGTCATTTGAAGTTTGTGCATTTGCTATATCTTGATTGAGTCTTTCTACTTTCTGTTTTAGCTCTGCAATGTACTTTGATGCATCTACTATGATTGATGTTTTGTTGAGCTGCCACGAATTGAACAAACAGAATCAATATATATATATATATATGTCAGAACCCACCCGGTTGAACATTTTTCATTTCATCAAAATCATAGATTAATTCATTAGTAAATAAATGTTCCAAAAAGACACGAAAATGATAGATTTATTCGAAAGCTAATAGACCTAAAAGAAAATTTCCCTCCTGCAACTAATCAAAAGTTTGTTTATTATGAAGTTTTTTGAGCATGGATTAATTAATTAAAGTCAATAATAAGTTTCCATTTGGCTAATTAAGAACGATATATATTGGAAGTTGGCCGAGGAAACAAATTTATGATGACGATGAAGATAGAATTTAGGTGACAAGAAAAGGGGTAGGATCGATATGGAGAAATAAAGAGAAGAGCAAAGGATTTATATATACAATTGAAGAAGAGATAGATATATTAAATGGATTAGGTATGAGGAAGAATTGAAAGAAGAAAGCCAATGAAATTGAAGGCTTCAGAGATAGACAGAGAATTTACAGCATGAGAGTTAGTAATTGAACGAAGAAGTTGCAGCTTCCCATGCAGTGCTGCTATCTTGTGCTCCCTAGAAACCATGGTGTAGTTTTCTCTCTTTTCTTTTTCTCTTCTCTTTATACTCTTTCTCTCTTTTCTCTCTCTTTTTTCTTCCTATCAACTCAGCAAGGTCTGAGGCTGTTTAAAGAGGGGATGAGCTCTCAAATCTATATGATCCTCGGCCTGTTGCCTTCGCACATGACTACCTCAGTTTCTCAACAACAATTAAATATTATATTCTTCCTCAACTTACCAGATTGCCCCTTCTCATATTAATTCCAAACATGCATACGAAATAATGGAATTTATTTGGTGGATGATAATTAATATACTCTACTTTAGCACAATTTGCATCCAAATAAAATAAAACTCCCTATATATATGAGATTGGTTATTAGTAAATTAAAATAATTTTTTGTTAAATGGACCATATGTTATGATAATGAATTTAATATATTAGTATATTCCTCCAGATCGATATTCTTAAAAAATAAAACAATTAGGTCAAGATAAAAGTGAGAGTCCAAAAATTTTAATGAAAAATAAATGCCCAAATCTTTTGCCACCCCATGCCTTTATCATTTCAATAATAATAATAAAAACTTGAAATATAATTGAAAAAAAGCATTGATTCCTCATTTCTTGTACTAGAAATAGACATATATATAGGCATTGTATAAATTTGAACATCCAAAAGTAACACTTTATTGCATCGCACCAATTGATTATATATAACTAGAGAATCAATTTATAATCCAATTATTATAGATAATTTTGCCTTATTTACCTTCCAAACTACCATAAATAAAGTATACGAATTCTATATAAGATTATTACTCTATCTATGTTTTGATCTTTAGGCCAAGTATCAAATCAATCATATCAATTTGAAGATACAATATCTATGAATAATAGGAGTTCTCAAATTTTATAATAGGTTTGATTTGCAAAAAGGGTTTCGTCTTTTTGAGAAGAAAGAAAAAAAAAATAAAAATAAAAAATCGAAATGGGTATATTGGGAAAAAGGAAATGAAGGATATATAAATGGGCATTATATATAGATTAGTTAAGAAGAAGGAATGGGGGAATCATGAGCTCGTGATGGAGAGGTAGTGAAAAATAATGGCCATCGAAAGAAGTGAAGGACGGTGGGAAGAAGCAACAAAAGAAGGTTTAGTTGTGAACTTAGAATGCCTCCAAACACTCCTCACGGGGGGCTTTTTTAGACTCCCTTTCTCTCACCAGCCGTCACCTCTTTGTCTTCTCTCTCCACACATGCCATTTCTACCCTTTCTCATCACCATCACCACTCCATTAATATGATCTTAATTCTTGGAAAATGAGTAAATCAAGTTTAGAAGCCAGTTACATCATGCTTTAACTTGATTAAACTAAGTTTTATGTGCTTAGGAAAACCTATATTTTGAGAGAGACGTTTTCTATATAATCAAATACAATTTGTATAGCCGAAGAAGTCACATGCAAGCCCGGCTATTGGCTTCCATACAAACCTGTCGTCTCCTCGAAGTTGAACTGCCTTTTCCATTCATCACACTCTCTCTTTTGTACTAAGAACATTAAACATTGAAAATGATCGGGTATTGTTGGTCCTGTCGCTTTATATAACGATGTGTGATTTCATTAATTATCTCTGAAAAAGCTTCGATCCGGCCATATCTTATTTGCTATATTTCGATCACAAAACCTGATTAAGAAGATGAAGAAATTAAAACTTTTGTTACCTAGCCAGCTACATATATGATCTCTGATCCATGAACGTGTCACGAGATGTTATCAACATATGTATTTCACAGTTCATATGCAAGTTTGGAGTTGGCTCCTTGCTTCCAGCATTGTCTCCATTCCATACAGACAAATCACGTACCCACCTATTCACGTGTGCACTTTAATCATTACAACAAAACAATACTCTCCATACATTTACACTGCTCCAACCTTGTCTCTTGCTTTCCCTTATAGTCTTTCTTTCCCTAGCTAGGGTTTGCTACCTGTTTATCCGAAAATAATTTTCCAGAGTCGAATCTTAATACCTAAAAACTGTCTTAAGACTTCATTAATTTTACACTAATTTCCGAATACTGTACTAGTCGTAGTATGAGTCAACTATTGAATTGATGTTTCGTTTTGAATAATGATGCATGCAGTGGAGTTACAGTTATTTTTTCTTTTGTGCAGTAGCGGTAAGTGTACAACTGAGTGTGTTTACACTCTCCGCCAAATATAAACAACTTGTGTAATGTCCAATGGCATAATTCAAAATTTGAAAAAAACTCTGAACTTCGACATTTTTTCGAATGAGCGTGATTGGATGCTTATCAGTATATGATGATGCAACGAAAAGGGAAAGAAAGATACAAATTAAACAGATAGGCAATTTGTCTTCACACTTTTGGAGGTCTATTCGATTTCGAGCTGTGTCTCACAGAATTCGCTTGCGTCAAAACAAGTTAAATCAACCCAGTCTTCTTCTTTACACTTCAATTATGGAGTCATCATAAAGTGCGCATGCATGAACTTCTGATTAAACTCTTCACCAGAAAAAGAAGGGTTGAAAATTTCATTAACTCTTTTAAATTAACCTTATTGGTTTTGTGTTGTTTGCAAAAAAGTTGGAGATTGAGAAGATTCTTTGCAGCATTTGGTTGTTCTCATTCGCAGGTTTCATTCTTATAATATTAATTGTTTATGGTATAAATAAATAATTAATTGATTAAATATTGCTTATTATATATTCGTATTGTATTTGGCAAGTGATTTGGGTAATGTTTTAATCTGCTGATCTGTACACGTTTTGGTGTCGACTTGTATATTGTTGTAAATGCATGTCATATCATGTGACAAAATAAAACAAAACACAAAACAAAAACAAAACAAAAAAATGGCATCAAAATAATAATTATTAAGAGCATATTTTAGAGCCCAATAATGCAAATATTGAAAGTACTTCTAAAATCAGAAATATTGCTCGTGACATTCTATATACCAGTTGAAAATTGAAATATTTTGACTAGATGACAAAGCCAAGACACTCTCATGCACCATCTTTATCATTTACTCGAATCAGAAACTTATCCTCGTTCTGAAAATTTCACTCTCTCTTTTGTCATCTCTAATTGTTCAACAATTTTTTAAAAAAGTTTTTATATATTATATGCTTTTATTATTCTTTTCCCTCTTCTCAGATTACATGTATATATAGATTTTATGTGTAGGATTCTTGTGACTGACTCACGTGAGTTGCTCTTCGGGAAAGCACATTCACATGAAAATGTGACAATGGAAACAAAATGCATAAATCTATAAAGTAATTATTCAGTGATGAGTGTCTGCNAGATGACAAAGCCAAGACACTCTCATGCACCATCTTTATCATTTACTCGAATCAGAAACTTATCCTCGTTCTGCAAATTTCACTCTCTCTCTCTTGTCATCTCTAATTGTTCAACAATTTTAAAAAAAAGTTTTTATATATTATATGCTTTTATTATTCTTTCCCCTCTTCTCATAATATACATAGATTTTATGTGTAGGATTCTTGTGACTGACTCTCGTGAGTTGTTCTTCGGGAAAGTACATTCACATGAAAATGTGACAATGGAAACAAAATGCATAAATCTATAAAGTAATTATTCAGTGATGAGTGTCTGCCCTCGTTGTGCATGGTGGGAGATCAGAGAAAAAGAGAGTGAGAGAGAAATTCTTGTTGGAGAGATTAAAGAATCCACAAGGATAAAGTAAATAACAAAGACAAGATGTGGAGTAATTGAGTTCATGAATATATATAATATTAATCAAATTACAATTATAATGATCTTTAATTTATTGAAGTTAATCGAAAGAGAAGTCACTTTCGAGTTCTCTCTCACATAGAGAAGTAGAATAAAAAGGCCTTTTTGATTAGTCGTGAATCTTGGAGTTCTTATATCCAATGTTTTTGCTAGCTGCTGCCTGCATAGAACATCTATCCTCATGCAAACAAATAAACCTTACACTCTCTTGACAGCTATATCAATTTGTCTTTTCTCTCGCTGAATTCTTTCACCAAGCAGTATTTATGTATATGATCAGCAACATTCGGTGTTCAATTACAACATATTAACAATATTATGGTGAATTAACCTAACTATAGCTTGAAAGTAAATAGTTATAATGTAAAACGTAGCAATGTATTTAGAGGTAACCCAGAAGACAAATGATTCTTTAGATATATATAGCAACATATATAGAGGCATCCAAAATTTAACCTGTACCAAAATGTTCTAGTGAGGGTTGAGCAAGAATTTGACCCCACCGATTGTGACAAAAGGGTTGCAAATTTTAGGTTCACGGGGTCGGTTGTGAACTATCTGAAAATAATATAAATTCTTGTTCAATAACATGCAATCACTAAAAAAAAATAAAAAAATTATAGAAATATATATGGAGCAAATCAAACGAGACTAGCTAGCCACCTCTTGTCCCTTGTTTTAACATGTAAAAGGCTTATAAATCTATTCGACGTTTTCAATAAGTGCTTGAAATTGTTGTGTCTCTTTGTTTATTTTTGGATAGTATATGAAAGGCAGGTAGAGATCGTTGCGTTTTGAATTGATGTCTTCCATTGGCTGCAATTAACTTTAGTTGTTTGGAAGAGAGAAGAAAAAGTGGGGTATTTTAGCATTTGGAAAGAGACTTTTCTCCAATTTGTGAACAATAGGTCTTTGCTTAATTTGTCTTATACATGCGGCCACAATAGAACACCAGAAAACATAAAATTTTCCAAGACATTGAATGAAAGGATTGGCTAACTAATTCCCGGCAAGAGATGGTAATTAAATTGACATTGTATAATTTCAATGCAAGCTTATTGCTTCTTGTGTTTACACATGCATGTTAGCTCTAGCTCTAGCTCTTGGCTTTAATTTTTCAACAACCAGTTACTTGCATATATATGTTTGCACTAGGTAAAAACGGAGAACAAGAAGAGGAAAACTGAAAAGGAAATAGAACCATAACCTTCAGCCATATATTACGTAGATGCTTATGGTAAGAGTACTACTATAGTACAGGTAATATTATCCCCACCTACACCCTTAGATTATGTTGCGAAGGTTAATTGGATCAATGATCCAAGGGTCCAAATGAAAAATATCATCATCGCGGTAATATAACAAAACTTAATTTTAACATAAACTTGTCAATTGAGCAATACTTTAACTTCATCTAATGGTAGATTGACTATTGAATGGATGCCTCCACCTCCAAATCATAACATAACAAAAATCATCATTTTGAATCAATCAATTCATGACAGCTTCCTTTAGAAGAGAGCCTTTTTTAACTACATGTTTGCAAATAGTGCCATGCTGAGAAGGTATACATAAAAGGCTAATGCAATCGCCATTTAACCCAAACATTTGGGATCAATAAGCACCCACCCCAGATATTGGGGCAAAACATCGATCATATATAAACAAAAAACTGAAGGGATATATTCTAGATTTGTAACTATTGAAGTGATCAAATTAGAATTGACTTAGATTATTGTTTAGTGGTCATTAACAAATCTGAATATCCGTAACTGTTATGATATATTCTTGATGATGGCTGACGGATTGTTAACCATTTCTGATCACAAAACACAGTTGCCATTTTCCCAAGCAACAATGCATCTGCCTAATGTTTCAATTTGACGAAGGCTATAGCTTATGGAACAAGTTATACTCTAGCTGTATATATCTGGTAAATGATCAACTGATAGCTATTCAAAACAAATTCAACAAATGAAAAACTGGTGTGTTTCATGCAATATATACTTTCTGCCTTTTCCAACTCGCTATAAAGCTAACATCAACTTAACCATATTCCATATCTAGTTAGCTTCCAAAACAAACATGGGAAACCCATTAGGCTTTAAGCAATATTTATTAGCATGGCTCATTTTGGGAGGCATTACTTTGCTACAAGCCATGAGTGGCACTCGTTTCATTTACTCAGCATGCTCCAACCTAATGAAACGACATTATGGAATCTCCCAAATGCAAGTCAACAATCTTATTGTAGCTTCAGAAAGTGGAAAGGTCTTTGGATGCTTTCCAACTGCTGCCAAAAAGTATCTTCCTGAATGGATGATCTTAGTAATTGGCTTGATGTTTGGGTCAGTTGGATATGGTGCGCTGTACTTGTCCATATCCACAAACCATCCCTCTCTATCTTACTGGCAAATCTTGTTCTTCAATGTTCTTGCAGGAAATAGCATTTGTTGGATCAACACATACTGTGATTTGCTAGCGGCTAAAAACTTCAAGCATACGCAAGACACAGTTACTGAACTAGCATCGAGCTATTCGGGGTTGACTGGGAAGATATATACTTCTTTAGTTGAAGGAATTCAAGGGAGAAAATTGGTTTCTGAAGATTCTAGCAAGATCTATCTCCTGTTGAGTTGCCTTGCCCCGGCTACTGTGGGGTTACCCGTGGCATTGCTAAACTGTGTAATCAATGTGGGAGAATATGAAGAAGCAAAATTGTTTCCCTTTGTGTTTGTGATTGTTATTGCAACTGGGGTATATGCCTTTATTGAAAATACTGCACAACCTTTTACACAAATGTCATTAAAATTAAGAGTGGTCAATTTTATGCTGGTGGCAATGTTACCACTTGTGGTGGCATTGCTGATGGCCGCAAGGTATATTATCACATTAGCAAAATATGACACTCAGGACACCAATGAAAGAGTCAAGATCACTGTTGAAAATCATGAAACGGTTGTCACAGAGAAACTGGCAGTGGGGAATGAGAATAATGGGTTGAAAAAGCTAGTGAAGAGTGTGGATTTCTGGTTGTTTTACATGATGAATATGTGTGGGGTTACACTGGGAATGGTTTATCTCAACAACTTAGAAATAATCTCAGAATCGCAAGGTTACCATAAACCTCTATTTCTATTGGCAACTTCCTCAACATTTGTCTTCTTTGGAAGGGTTTTTTCACTCGTTTTCACTTGGTATACAAGGTTTGAACATCTATAGCTTCAAATAACCTATATATTCATAAATTGATGCCAATTCTTAAGCAAAATATTATTTGTTTTTCAGGGAAACATCAATAATCTCGAAACCAGCATTGACGATGCTGATAATGACTTCAATGCCTTTGGCATTCTTCTTGCTCATCATCAGCAGCAAGATGTGTCTATACATCAGCACATGCATTATTGCAACTGGTCTTGGAGCCATAACCGCCATCGTCTCATCCTCAACATCAGAGTTCTTGAGCACCAACTCCAATTCTCTTATTAACCAAACCAATATTATTCCTACAAATGTTCCCTTAGGCACTTTACTCTTTGGTTACTTGGCGTCTCTCATTTATGACAGAGATGGCAGTGGAGACCATAAATTATGCTTGGGACGCTTGAAATGCCATCATTTAACTTTCACTATCTGGGGATTTATTTCTTCTATTGGAACTATTCTAAGTTTTTCTTTGTATATTCGAACACGGAAGAATCATTCACAGAAATTATAGTGAACAATTTCTCGTTCATAGTCTATCGATGTAAATGTTATGGCGTTTATAATATCAAGTAGCTAAGCACATGTCTCTTCATTTATTTAAGTCAGTTAGATTGTAATAGATGTATGAACATGCATGTGTCAATAATTATATACCAATATGTTTTATTTATCAACATTTTCTTATATTTATCAATAACGTTCAAATTTACTCTTTAAGTTCATAAGATTAGAATTGATTCATGGCTAATAAATGGTTAATTTAAGGTAAAAAAAGAAAAAATTAAACTAGAATGATGAGAACTATATATCCATGAAGAATTAACAACTCACGTTTACATAAGATTAAAGTCTTTTATCATTGTTTAATTGTCCAATAATACGATAATATAAGCTATAAATCAGTGTCTTATATGATATAATTTACTAATTTAGACCTGGTAATAGGTCGTCTTGAAATAGTTTTGTGTCATACTACACTTGTGTCGTGTCAAATTTACTTATATCAAACTTAACCCGTTAATTTCTTGGGTGTAAATATGAAAATCCATAGTAAAGCTTAGTTTAGCATATATATATATGTATGTTAATTTGGGCTAAGAGGATTCGAGTGTGGGTTACATTTATTGAGCTCGTAATGAGAGGGTCCAATAAATTATTATCAAAAGGTTAGGTCTCATTTCCAAACACACGATAGTTTAACCTCATTCTAAAAAGTATTGTCCTTGTGTGCGTTATTAGAAATGAAGACAAGTCCTTCGATCAACAATCGATCATTTTCAGAAGACAAAGAAAGTTTGTTTGCATCAAACTATAGCACAATCAGGTTTGTCATATCTTTAATTTATTTATTCAATCTTTCGCAAACTGTAAGTGTGAAGACCAAAACGGTGCCGTGTCTCTTAACCAACATGTTGTCGTTTCAAGCATGAATCTGGACCATCAACTTTGAGAAGATCCAACGGATGTGCTTAGTCTATCCTGGTCAACGATATATAAGTGAACTTTTTCTCTTTAGGTTTAAAAGTTTTCTTTTTCGATTGAAACAGGGTTAGATATTGCTCTGCTAGGGTTCATCCTTTGTTCTGAAATCTTGGGTCTGTGTAACGGTTGAGTGATTGATTTGTCATTCTGTTTGAGGGGTTTTGTCTCTCGGTTGGCTGGGATTCTTAGTGTATAGTTTCCAGGGCTATTAGTTACCAGATAGGGTGATTTCAGGTTTGATTGAATCTTTCAATCTTGTGTCTGTAATCTGTAAATAGCTTTCCTAATAGTGCAGTGGGCTTCAACGTTTCTGGAGCTCAACGTGGACGTAGCCTTCCCATTTTTGGAAAGGTGAACCACGATAAAACTGTTGTGTTCGTAATCTTTTGTGGATGTGTTTATTTGGTTATAATCTGTGGTTGTGTGAGTGTGTTATTACAACACAAACTAATATGTATGTCCTGTGTTTATCATTGAATTGACACTTTACTAATTTTGTGATTCAATTATTGAAGTTGTATGAATTAGATTTGTGTTTATATTCATGCTATTAATCTTACATGAAATGTCATAGATTAAATAAGCAGAAGCTGCACATTCCTTGTTTGTTTATTATTTTGAGATACATATGCAGATTTGAAAGCCATTTCTACACACTAACCTACATCCCATCACATGCATTTTCACTTTTCAATGTTTTATTTAATTTATTCTACATTATGTACATGAATGTTTAATTTTATAAAAGTGGGATTACACTCTGTTTTAAAACCCAGATCAGACCGGCCGGTCAGACCGATTCTATCGAGACTCAAAAGCTTCTTCGGTCCGGTTCAAGGTTTAGGAGTGTATTGTAATATTTCAAATTTATAGGGACTAATTGTAATTTTAGGAGTATTTTGGAGATATGTCAAAAGTTTAGGGATTAATCGGTAATTTTTTGGGGGTACTTTTAAATAAATAAAAATTTTAGGAACTAATTTGAAATTTTTTAGGGATATTTTTTGTAATATACTAAAATTCAAAAGATTAATATGTAATTTTTTAAAAATTAAATTGTTACTGGCGTCACCAGTTTAACTGGCCGATCTAACTGGTTGGATCGATTGACCCGTAACTTGAGTAGTAAAACGGGTTATCCTCCAATCCGAGTTTTAAAACAATGGGTTTACGTATATGAAAATGGCGATACGTAAGAAGTGGGAAGATTTGGTTTATCTTTCTTGATATTTATTCTCATATAAATAAATTACTCGCCACCAATATTTACCCCTTAAAATTCCAACAATATGATAGGATGGGTTGGGTTGGGCCAGAAACCCTTAAATGGGCCTAATTTTGAAGATAAATCCAGATCTCTCTACGAACTACCAGAATTTCCCGCCAGACCCGATTAGCTTGCTCTGTTATAAAAACTTCACATAAAACAAGAGCAAAATTTGTCGCTTCAAATGGAAGCTAAAAGAAAGAGAAAAGCTCTCGCGGATTGCACCAATACAATTCCTCCTCCTTCTTCCATTAAGAAACCCTCTTTCTCTTCTGCTATCAAAAAAGTACTCAGTGAGCCCAAGGACAAATCCGTAATTCAATCCAAGTCCAAGTCGGCTGTCGGCGCCAACGCCGCTGATGAGAACCACAGCGAAACTGGAACCAAAACTCCTAGCTCCTCTTCTGTTGCTTCTACGCCAGTGAAATCTTCGAGTGTTTCTGGTAATGTTTTATTTTGTGATTATTTGGGGATTTGGTCATCTAGGGTTTTTAATTTTGAACTGGGTTTTTCATTTTGTTATTATTATTATTTTTTGTTTTTGGTAGAATTGAAATTAATTTCAATATTTGTATGATCTATGTGCGCGTTTTATGCTTTAATTAATTATTTTAAGAGTCAATTGATAATGCCTTTAATTATACTGGAAATGAATTTAGCTTTTACTTCAAGCTTAAATCATGAATGCATGTAATTGGATTTTGAGTTCGTTTAGATATACATCGGATTTTATACCCCATTTTGAGGTGAGGGGTAATTAATACGTGTTGCGTGTTCTGACTTTAGGTGCAGGTGATGAGAGTCGGGTTGTTGAGCCGTGTTCGGTTTATAGTAGAAGAAGAACCGCAGAAAAAAGGAAGTATAAAGGCAAGGAAGTAGCTCTGCCTTTCGACGGCTCTCATGCAGTTAGTTTAAATACCGATATGTATGAATATACACTCTCTTTTTTAACATTTAATTTGTTAGGGAATTTAATTTTTTAATTGCAATTTGAGTGTTTAAACTTTATCTGAGAAATGATGCTGTGAGTGGGTCAATATAATTATGGAATGTAAAGAGAGTAAATCATAGCCATTGGTAATGAAAATATTAGTATCATACTAAAGCTATTCAGGGGATATAGAAAGTAATATCTGTTGTTATGTTACTATAAGATTCTATTCGAATATTCATAATTAACCACCTGAACGCTGAAAGTGTAATACTGTTCTTTTCTATTGCCATTTGCGGTCTTTACGTCTTTGGGTTTCTGCTGCGCTGAAAAAATGTTGAGCTTCTGTGTGGAATACTGAAAGTGGAAGGGAAAAGAGATAAATAAAATGTTTTGATGGACTAACTACCAGTTTCCACTTTACTTTTAAAACTTTCCTAGATCCAAGTAAGCAAGAGTGTAAAAAAATGTTGGGCTGGTTTTTTGCAATCATATGAATTCTTCAAGCTGAAGTTTTGCTTCATTACACTAGAAAAGGATTTGTAAATATGTTGAATGATAAATTTGCTTCTGTAGTCAGATCAAAATCAAGGCAATGCAATTTAATTCACATGAAAATATGCTACTTCTTTATTTTTCCCTGTATCTGAATGCTTTTGTATTTATCTATATATTCTTTATACTTTTGTGCCAATTTTCTCTCTCTTTAGGCGTTTTTTATATTAGCTATGTTTTCTCTGCATCTATTTTTCCTTTGTTGCTATATCTATTAATACTGATTCTATGTTCATTCCTTTTATACAGAGTCAAAAGCAAGGAAGATGGAAAGACTTTTCCATCCAAGTCATCTATTAAGCATCGTAAAAAGGTTTGTATAAATTTGGTTTCTTTAATTTCTTGTTTGTGTGCATAGATGTTCTAACTCTATTTTGTATTTGCAGCATTGAGGATGGCTGTTTTTTTTTTTTTTTTAAATTTTATATTGAGACAATAATTCTTGATTTTATTGCTTGAACATATTGTGTATGAAATTTGGGCCAAAGAGTGATCACTTGTCATAGTCACTTGCTTCACTTTTTTCATACAAATTCCCAAATTTTGTTTCTTCTGAGAGGACAGGATATCCTTCATATCAGCATTTGCCTTTTATTTATTTTTGGCTGAAATTGGGGTCCATATTATAAAACCTGTTTTCTAGTCTATCTATAATCTTACATTGCTGTTTTATTTTGCCATAGTCTTATGTTTCTGAAGCTTCCTCCCTGGTTTAGCATAGAAATCCTGACTTAGATTTTAGGGTGAGCTGCTGCATTCCTAGTCATTTGGCTGAGATCATAATCTATATGTGGTGTTCATGCAGAAGAAGGAAGATGATTCCCTGCATACCATGTCTCAAGACTTTATTGAGAAGCAGAGAGCTTACTTTGCAGAGATTGATGCATTCAAACTGTCAGAAGAGGAGGCGTCCGATCAGTCGGAATAGATAGGAAATGTAAAATTTATGCTGCGTTCAAGGCATTCTAACTCATCAAATAGTAACTGTATAGTTAGAACAGTTTTATATATGTTGTAATAACCACTATGTTAACCACGATGTAAGTTCCTTAAATCTTTTTGTAGGAAACAATTATACGCAGTTGTAATTCTGGATAGTACTTGAGAAACAGGCTCTGTGAAAGCAGTATCAAGGGTTTTTCAGAGAAAGACTTGAAATGATATCACAAATTTTTTTAATCTTTAAAGATAGGGCTAAATAGCCTTATATATTAATTCATATTCAATAATCTGTTATACATAATACAAATAAATATTATTTATTTTAATTGACTTTTCTGCAGTTGGTCCTGATTTCTCCTTCACTTCCTGTAAGAGGATCGATGTTTCCCATCTTGACCATAGCCTTGGAAAAGTCCTCGAAAAATGCAGAAGTGTTTGTGGCATATGTTTGGACTAGAGAATCAGTAGAACTGTTCCCATTGTAGAGCTCCTGGTCTGAATGAAGAAGACCTGTCTTATTCAGCAAATTTTGATAATATAAATTATCAAAACAGGTTGGTGTTTGGAGGTCAAGATTTTCTAAAGCATCATCGTTTCCAGAAAATGGGCAGCTTTGCTGCAATGAATTGGCAAAACAGGAGTCAATATCTGTATCATTGTAAATATGTTGTCTAAATGACGTGCACCTCGCCAAGCCTATTGTGTGAGCGCCTGCAATTCATTTAGGGAATTCAATTAGCAAGAGTGTTGCCATAACATTGCAGTATGGACTGACTGGAATCGAATTGATTACCGGAAAGAGCCACCAAGTTCTTTAACGAGAGGCCATGTGCAGAGAAGCTTGATATGAGAGCACTTAGATTAAAAAAGGGTGCAGGAATTAAGGAGTTTGCAGCATCCCTACTAGCATTGGTTGAATCTCTTCTTCCCAAACTAACTTCCCACGGAGGACCCCCCAGCTGCAAATTAAGCACATAACATTTTACTTAAAACAGATATTAAGAATCAAAAAATTAACTTTGATCTATTTATTGAACATGGAGATTACATAAACAACTGAGTCTCTAGCTGCAATAGCAAGAATATCAGCACAAGACACTACTCCAGGGCAAGCTTCCTCAAGTTTAGCTTTAATCTTATCAATGACATCGTATCCTCTAGCTGAGTTATTATTGGCGCCTGCTGTTTTTTCTCCTACAAAGGTGGCGTTATCATCCAGCAAGATTGATGCATCACAGCCCTGTTCATTGTCTTAATTTAATGGTTAGTTCATAGAATGTAACACATCATTAGCCTAGCTGAAAAAATGTGAACCTCATGTAGTATTACTCACATTAACAAAGCAATCATGGAAATGCAATCGAAGTAAAGACGCTCCCATTCGAGTTTCATTCTGTATTGCAGCTGCAACTTCTTGCTGTACAATTGATAATGCATCTGGGCATTTGGACTGGTAGTAATCTGTGGAGAGTTGGCTATCTGCTCGAACCGTTGTGCCCACACTAACGACAATCAGGACCAGAAAGAGTAAGTCGTGACCTGCCATTGAGAACTCAACAAGTTGTAATCAATCATAGAAGGTGTTTACCTTTATACTTACACAATTGCTACAACCGCTACTGCACAACCTATTATATTGGACCCTTATCTAATAACTTAAAGCTTTTTGATGAATAAATTATTTATCGTTTTTGTTATTTATGTTTTCTGGATTGATATGATTGCAGCATGACAATGGCTTTTAAATTTTAAGCATGTAGTTTCCTAACTTTTCCTGGAGTGATAGATTAATGTTTTGAGATTCATAAGGTAATCGTTTGGGTAAGTTTTACAAGTAATCTTGCATGAGGAAGGGCCCCTACAAGAACCCCATCAAGGGAATACCATAAATTCTTGTTTCTTTCGTTGAAGCTATGTAAAATTTTTGCTTTTTTCAAGTTAATTGGACATAAGTGTCACCCTTCATGTGTATAAAAAACCAAACGTTGAGATGGTAATAAATCATGGTGGAATTGATTTAACATAGAAATAGTTCATGTTAATCAATAGATGCAAGTAAAATGCAGGGCTTTATAATTTGTGTTTGGGTTTAATAATGAGTTCTTTTGAATTATTGTGATCTTGCCTTCTTGAGGTTTAGCCTCTCCTCTTATTCAATTGCAACATCATTTTTGGTACGTTCCATGACCATCTCATGGCAGGACCACACATGCACAAAACAAAACTAGTAGCACCCAGAAAAGAATTATTTTTTATATTATTATGGGCCACATATAAATTGATGGTATGTCCAAGCTCAAAGCCCATGACAAAAATTCTCAGCTCTAGATCAGTGTTTGGGCCATGATTGTTGAATCTGTTTTTTTTTTTTTTTTTCCATGAAAACCTCAAGTCTCCCTGTACCGAAGGTATGAGACTAATCCCAATCGGGGCTTAGGTGAGTACTCTTGATTATAAGGTGTTTAGTGCGTTTTGAACCCCTGATATTACAGGTAAAGTTCATCCCACTTCAAGCCCAATTATCAGCTAGCCTTTTGCTGCACGAAAAATTCTCTTGTCTATATAATAGGAAATGTTAAAAGATGTGCAATATCAGTGAACTTTGGATTGATTTAGAGCTGTAATACTTCTTTGACAATAGTAAGAAAACTTCTATATCACAAGAACGCACAATTTTATTTCAAAGTAATGTTAGAGGTACAAACAAATCTTACAAAGATTTGTATACAAATTGATGTAGCAAAAAAATAAATGGAAAAGTGAATATGATGAGTTTGACTTTTTGTATTTACTTTTTTACTCGTTTTCTGTCATATCAGTTTGTACACAAATCTTACAAAGATTTGTTTATACATTTAGCATTATTGTATATTTCAATGGAATATATATGAAGTGGGAAACATATGAACCCACCATACCATATCACTAATAATTTTTCAGAACTTATAGTTTATAAACCAGTGATTCAACTTTGTGATACTGCACCACTAAGCTCATATATAGTTGACACTGTACAATATTGTTTCATAAACGAATACAACGACTAGGTTCAATGTATATAATTCATCGAATTTGAGAAACATTGACAAAAACAACACTAGATCTCTCAAAATCACTAAAAAAATTAAACCCTTTTTATGATCTGGTGATGATTTGTTTGTGAAGGTTTATTATGACGAATCTAAGTAAGATTACCGACTCTTTATGTTAGACACCAATCAATGGAATCTATGGTACAAACAAAAGAGCTTCATTGTTCTAGAGCTGGGGACTCACGTCTGTTTCAACAGTGTCACCATTCGTGCAAGTTGTTTATGTATCCTCATTGTCAACGATAATTGATACTTCTGTCACGATCCTACGGCTACAAGAGGGCAACTTATCTCTTGTCTTGTGTTATTTTCTTTCTGAAAAAAGGGTGCAATTATGGCCTCTCCATTAGGAAGAGAGGAAGCTAATGTACGCATCTAAATTTATGGACTCAAATTCAGCATTTTACCTTTACCTCTTAAATTTTATTCTTGAATCTCAATGCATGGCCACCAAATGGGAATATACCATTGCTTGTATATTAAACATGATGAACATTAAATGTATTTCATTGTAACAGTACAATGGTCGGTTGTTTTTGAAGACTTTTTTTTGTGAGAGGAGTTAAGAATAGGGTAGCCACTTCCCCAAATAATTCAAAGTTTTTGGGACATTCAATTAATAAGTTCTCTACTCTCCATCTTTATTGGACATTCAAGTTGATTGTTGACAGCCTTATCACAAACTCAATCTCAAATGGTGGACCTCTTATCTGGGTTCGAGAAGATTAATTTGTCTGATATGGAAGGTGATCGAGACCCAATTGTTTTCAGTCTCTGTCTCCTTAGGCACAGTGAAGAAGGCACTTAGAACACCTAGGTTTATACCTAGCTACCATTACCAAGCCCTAGATTGTGGCAATAGGTTTTATTAATGGCTTATCTCTCGCAGTAGCTGCTGTTGCTGATGCCATTTGCCCTTAATTTCATGCAACAACTTTAGAAATTCAAACCCCATTTCTCCTTGTATAATTCATTTTACTCTTACCTTGGATCGATTAGATGTTTCAAGCTGTTGGCTAGTGGCATTGTTGTGGCAAAACTGATTATCACTTATACAGGAGACCATGAATTGGAGGGTCAAAGACGATAGCATTCTCCACTATTTTTTGTTGATTTGCTTGTAGTGTATTGTCTCTTTCCCTCGTTCATCTTCTTATGAGTTACTGAAAAATATTGAACAAGAAACCAAACAGTCAATTAATTCGCATCAATGTAGAAAGCAAAGCATACTGCAACTCCAAAGTTGCTTGGCAACAGGTTAAAAAGTCTATCCCAACCACAATTTAGTATTCCAATATTGTATTGACAAAATGTTGATCAAAGAAACACGTTAGTTGCATACAGTTGATAGATACCATATACATTAACATATTAACCTTTTCTGCTATTTCATTATGGTACTTAATTAGGCGACTAATCAATTAAGGGTTCATTAATCAATTATTTGGAACCACGTTATGAAGCAATGCTAATAACTTCATAACACTTGGTTCAAAAGAAAGCCAATGCCTCTCTTTTTGTGACCATTTAGTCATTAGAGTTAACTATACTCAGAGAGTCTTGTGTCCGAATTATAGAGAATATCAGGTATCTATTATATTTGTGCAATTACATTGGTCTATTGACCTTATAGGGTGGTTCGTAATCCTGAGGATTAGACAATGCAATTACCTTGATCCAATGAACTTATAAGATGTTTTATAGCCTTGAAGATTAGGCAGACTCCAATGTGATATTATTTTTAAAGGATTTTCTTTTCTTGACAGTTGAGATATTGCAGACATTTCATATTGATCATATGGTTTCCATTGTGTATATTTAGACTGTCATAATGATCTTCATCTTAATTGTTTAGATGGGTAAGCTGGAACTTCTAGGTTTGGGTATTAATTCAAAAATGCAACATAGTATTAAGAAAACGTTCACATTTAAGATGTTGCAATTACTGCAATGACCAGTGCCCGACCAGTCAAAGATTCTTTCCGCGCAAGATTCGAAAAAGATCAGCATCCCACATTTAAGTCAGTGAGATGACAATCCCTAGGCTTCTGCAACCAATCAAACCAGCTAATTAATCAAGTATTGTGGTCCTAATTAATTAATTAGTGTAGCTCAACATTCAATAAGTAAGCAGGTTTGACATTAACTATTCACACTTGTAAAATATTAAGCACATTTGTAAAATATTAAGCTAGTTTAGAAGTTACAGTGTGAATGGAAGATAAATGAAGTAAATGAAAGATGATTTTTAAAGCGTTTCAGATACTTAAAGTAAATCATACGTCCATTGTTCTTTTATATATTTATGAGGTTACAGGAGGTCACGTAAAACGACTAGTGAGCAGAGGTATAAGTGATTGATTATCCAAGAAGAATATCGAGTCAATTTTTTTCTCGCAGGTTATCTGTGTTTTGAGAGTAAAAGGTTAGAATAAGAATGTGGATTTCTTCTCAAAATCCAGAAAATGAGAGAGGAAGTCCTCTATTTATAGTAGAAGGTTTTAGGGTAATGATTACAAATCTGCACGTGAGCAGGTGTCATACAATTCCTACCGCGTTTTCCATTGGCTGATTACACAGCAGATATCCTTAAACCGCGCAGGGCTTAGACAGATGGGCGACTCCTATCCACTCATAGACAAAGCCTAAGTTTGCCAAGTTGATGACAGTTATACTCTTTCTGTCTTTTGACGATGTGGCAGCTTCTGGACGGCACAGAAACTTTCTGAACTCTGATTGGCGCTAGCTAACGTAAGGTCGCATCAACCCTAATTTTTTAGGCATAAAATGCCGAATTCAAACAGTCATTATCATCCTTTCAAGTCAAGGGCGGAGCTAACAACAAAAATTTCAAGTCAGCTCTTGAGCAATGCCATGCAAGCTATGCAAATAGCTAATTTAGGAGGCAACATACCCATACCAAAGATGGACAGAAAATATTTAACATACTATTTACTGGAAGATAACTCATATCTGCACAAACCATAAGGACAGTGGTATTCAATTTCCAATTCCAATAATGTCTGCGATTTACCATACCAACACCTAATAATTTATTGTACTGAATCCCCACCGATTCCCCTCTTGATTACTAATAGAAAACACAATACCGTGATAATAATTTGTAAGCATTAATACTGTATTAATGGTTTCTGCTACGTGCCAGTGTTCTGATCACCAGAACACACACAGGTAAGATGATGGACTTGCATAATTTTAACCAAGTTTTAGAGGGAATTCATCAGAGGAAAAACCCAGAAGGCCACAGTGTGCACCTATAAACCATACACTTCATAGTTCTTGTATTTGTACGGAGTAGTAAATGTATATAGTACTAACCTGAGCAGTATGAATGTGTTTTAATTGTACGAGTGATTTACAGCCTGAAGCATGAATTTGACAGAATTAAAAGTTAAAAGAGTATCCTGAACCATTAACAGCTTGCATTTGATTATCATGAATTCAGAATTGTACGGATTGATTGAAGTTAAAGCCATTTCTAGCTTGTGATATAGGATTTTGATTTCAACCACATCAATACTGTTAAATTTTGAGAATTTCATATAAGAAAAAAAACTTCTTAAGATTTGGTGCATTTGTGTCCAATTAATTGATCGAGCGTTTTTATCGAAGCTTTTCTTTAACATGAATATGAATGATTCTTGATTACTACAGTACTGCAAGTTGGGAAAATTGCTGATGAGAATCAACGTTTTTAGGTCCACTATCCAACTCACCCTACAGCGTAGAAGCAACAACAAACTGAAACCTCTAATGAAATGATCACTATTCAGTCTCTCAATCCAGCTCAAAACTTAGGGTTTGAAGAACAAAATTTAAGAACTGAATACAATCGATATAGATTTTTCATTCAAGATCTCAAACCAACAATGATTATAATAAATATAACATTATCAAACTAATAATATCGATACTAATTAATCCTGGAGAAATAGCAGGAAGCTTCTTTAACCTTGTACTGGCTAGGGTCAACATCGATCTGTCATGCTTGTTTGTGGGTTGTTCAAAGTGGAAGAAGCTGTTTGAATTGTACTAGTAACAGTGCGCTAAACGTCGGTGGCATTATTGTAGTGACAACGATTAAAGAAGGGCAAATTGGTTTGCTAATTTAGTGCGGTCGGTGCGATGGGTTGCAAACTACACTGCACAAACACAGTACTGTCCAAGCTAACCCAACCACGGTCCGACTCAAGCAATTTTTAGGTTAACCAGAGAAAAAAAAAAAAAAAAAAATCTTATCTTGTATTTTGTTAAAATAAAATTCAGATATATTATATTTTGTTTTTATCCGATAAAAATCAGATTATTAAGATGAAATGACTAGGTTGAAAGCATCACAACCACAACCACAAACACAAACACAAACTCGATTTTTGTTTTATACAAGACATGCGCAGTCTAATCCGGGGGCCTCCTCTCCGTTAAGGATTGGCCTGGCTGCACGTTTGTGATTATAGATTGGATAGCAGTATTCATCTTCTTCATAATTTGTGCTATCAGTTATCAGCATTTCTACAAAACATAAGGTCAATTCAGTGGCACATTGCTGGTATTTTACAAAGGAAAATCACTTGTTTGATAAAGCTTGCTTCTTCTTCTTCTACTTTTTTTTTTTTAAATTTCTTTTATCAACTACCCCATTTGCACAAGTACAAAGTTAAATTTTGTATATATAAAATAAACCCTGCCTGGTTCTTCTCAAAAGGTTAAGAATAGCCCTTGATTAGGATTCAGGGCCAATGAATGTTAAATAAATTAGACGGTGAGAACAACAGATGAGATTCCAGTTGTAATGTATGATAGATAATTGGTGATTAAAATTTTTGTCTTTGGATGGCAGGTTTTGTGTCGTTTCTTTCAATTAAGTTCCAAGTTTTGACATGACCTTGCTTTCCGCAAATCTCATTTGAGCATGAATCAAATTTGGCTTTACATGGAGCAATAATAGAGGGACCCAAACCAATTAATGTTTGGAGTGTTTCTACAAATATCGTTTAGTTGGTTTTCATGATAGGAGGCAAGGGCCAATTCGTTATTGTTTTAACTTAATATTTATTTTAAATTCATTAATTATTAGCTAGTTGCAAATACATACAATATTTCATGGCTTTAATTTTTTTTTTTTTTAATCAAGAGTGTACATCTAGACTAATCTTCGGAGGAGACTAACACAGTACCTAATGTGACTAAATCAACCCTAGCAAGTGCACTAGTCGTGTTCAAGCAATAAAGTGATGAGTTTGAGTATTGTCCCACAAAGATCAAAGCAATTATTTGTAATTATGGAATATTCATATTTGTCAAACTTATGGGTTGTGTGTGCACATAAATTATGCGTGCACACAGGCTGTCAGACTTATGTTTTGGCTTGGTTTGTTTCGAGTGTGTGTGTGCACAACGGTTTGTGCTTACACTCTTGTTTCAGATATTTGAAACCCAACACAAGTTGATAAAGTGAAAAAGATATTGGTTATCTTTGTCTCTTGCTTTTTATGACCTTTTTACATATGTCATAATATGCTTAGGTGGTCCTAGGGAATAAAGTTATCTTTTCCGATTTATTTTGTGGTCCAAACTAAAAGAATGAATACTTTTTTTATTTGGAAAAATATGGGTCTATCCCTTGTTGGCTGACGTGGCACTATATTGTTGAGCAAGAAACATTTCATTAGATAATACTCTTTCTTGCGTGTATAAATCCAACATTTTGATCTTTTATTTAATTCGTACTCTGAATTTCTTAGAGTATTCTTTCTCTTAAGGTTAATGTTTATTTTCCATTTTGTGCCAAAACTTTACCATATCAAATATAGATTTGATGGCTTTTGGAACGTGATTCCTTTGATAATGCTGGTGCGTGGCGTCAGTGCTTGAAGATTGGTGTTTCACAAGCTGTTTTCGGGTGTGTGAAAAATATCCGAAGAAGTTGCTACACGTTAAGGATTCAAAGTGTGGTGCTAAGTGTAAAGTTGAACAGGAAGTTCTTTTTACTATAACTTAGATAAACTTTGAACGTTATCTAGTAATTTGTTATTAACTTAGTGGATTGCTTCGATCTAGACAATGTCCCATGTAAGTAGGCTAAAAGTGGATTTAGTCAAACCATGTATATGGTTGTGTTCTATACTTTCTGCACTTGTGTTTGATGTGGTTAAAAACTGAGAATGTCTTAATCTACTTGGTAAATATTCCGCTGCACTCTAAAATGGGTAATCCAAAACCAAAGTATTTTAACCTGTTCCTAACAATAATTATCTAAAACTGCCTACACGTTATTTGATAAAATAAGATTTTAGAGTGTAAAACTAATGGATTAAAAATAACTAAATCAAACAAATAAATAATGTGAAACATTATTAATGAAGTTAGCGTACAGATTTCCCCCTAACTATGTTTGACAACTACTCTTAATGCCCATTTGTGCTATGAATTGGTAGGATTCCTCTAAGACCAATTATCTTTATTCAGGCATAATATTCAACTTAATACATATCTCTATGCGGTTACTCTAAAATTAAGAAGCATAAAAACATCAATCATTTACAACTAATTCGCCATATTCGGTTATAAATTAGGTAGACCACAAATTAATCCTAAAATCCCTATCCGATTACTTCTAGTTTTAATACGTTATGCAATGTTATTCTAATAAAACAATTATGAATATAAATTAAGCAATAAACTTTAACTTCTCTATTCAAAACATCATCAAGGTAATTGAATCAATCCAACATTCATAAAGCATTAAACCTAAACTCTTGTACAAATTCATAAATATAAATCTGGTATTAAGAATAAAAATTGTTCAAAACATAATTACAGTTCTATCTTCCCCTAACAAAATAGATTTACTTCATCCTAAGAACAAAGAACTAAACAGAGAAGAAAGAAAATATATTCAGACTTGAAAATAAACAAAAATCAAACTCTTATATCTGATCTTCAGTCTTCAAGCCCCAGGAATACGTCTTCTTCTCTCCAAAATATGCAAAATTCATCTCCTGATAACTAATCTCAATTATATTTAAATACCCAAAAGAGTCATAAGTGAAAAAGGAAAGAAAAACTGACAAAAATACCCTAATAGTTCCCGCCACAACCCTGGCCATAGCTAAATTTAAGTCACCACAGCCTAGGCTATGGTGTTTTCTGGTCTCTTTATTTTATCTTTGTTCCACCACCATGGCCATGATAAACTACCAAGGCATGGCCGTGCCTTCAAGAATGTTAGGCAATGGTCAACTTCTTTAAGCTTTAAGCACTAATTTCATTCTAATACTTCACTCTATTCAATCAAAGCCTAAAAACTACAAAAGTTATCCAAACTAATAGCTAACTATTCACATCTCAAACTTTGACAAAAACTAACACAAAGAAAACAAATTAAAAGTTAACTAAACTAACATCAAAACAATCCTAAAAACACTCAAATTACGCAACTTATCAGTAATCCACTGCCATACCCCTAAAATGCTAATACGTATGTGGTATTCATCATTTTGTATTATTTTAAAGCATAAAGCATAAGTGAAAGGCACACTTGGGCAAACGAAATCAACCACTTTGTGTTGTATTAAAGTCAATTAATTCCTTAGTGGGGTTTTAAGTATCAATATCTAATAATAAACTTACAAAAGTAATTATTTTGACTTTGTATTAAAATCAATGTGCTATCGACTTATTCTAATTGATGTGAGAATTGATTCATAAAGTCTCATTATTTAAATTAAAAAAAAAAATTGCAATAATTCGTATATTATAAATGTGTAAAATAATGTTTTGTATGCAGTGTCGGGTGAGCATCCAATGTAGAAATTTATTCTGGTCCTAGCTCTTACCTCAGGGGCAGGGAGTTTATTTATGTGTGAGATGTGGCGAGTTGTGTTTGGTGAGGCAAGTAAACAGAATGAATTAGCACCACACCATTCTTTTCGTAGAAAAATACATTTTATGATACGTATAATCTTAGTTCAAATACTGATCAAGTCAACTTGCCATCAATATAATGCAATAGATTGGGATATAATATATGTCAATAAAAGAATAATGTCATATAGAATAATATTAGTATATTACATATCTGAAATAAGAACTCAAATTTCTCATCTCAAATAATTTTTCATCTTATATATGACATTGATTTATCATTTGTCATATCAATATCATAGAAGGTGACACTATAATGGGAATTTTACGAGCTCTTGAAATGTTAATAATTTAATTTGAATAAATAAGTTTGTATATAATATTTAGTTTTAATATAGTATATGTATATACTTAAAAAATCTCATATGTCATTATTAAAGAGTCAAAAAAAAGGAAAAGTATGGAGAGGGGGAGGGGAGGGCCTATATAAACAAGGCCTGTCTAGTAAGAGTTTTGCATATACCAAGCAAGCTTCAACACCTTCGCTATTTCTACTACAAACTAGTCACCTTTTTCATCTCTTGTTGCTCTCACTCACCTTCCATTCCAATCAAACCCTTTTTATTCATAAACTAGTATCTCATGGAAGAAGACAAGGGACACACCCGAGATGGCACTGTGGATCTCCAGGGCCGCCCCGTTCTTGCCTCCAAAACTGGCAAATGGAAAGCCTGTGCTTTCCTTGTTGGTAAACAATTCATGTTAACAACTTTTTTTTTTTAATTTAATGATATACTTCATGATAACTGCGATTTTCTTCTCTTTTTTCTCTTCTATTGCGTTAAGCTGAAAGCTCATCATGTGAATTTTTTGTGAGTTAATTACAGCTTATGAAGCATTTGAGAGAATGGCCTTCTATGGAATAGCGTCAAACTTAGTGAACTATTTGACAAGCCAGCTTCATGAAGACACAGTTTCTGCAGTGAGGAATGTGAATAACTGGTCAGGATCTGTGTGGATTACTCCAATTCTTGGTGCCTACATAGCCGATACTTACTTGGGTCGGTTCTGGACTTTCACAGTTTCATCTCTAATTTATGCCATGGTAATTATTATCATCACCATCTCTCCATTAATCGTTTTTATTCAATCTCTATATCAAAACAATGGTCGAATCCAAGTGTAAAGTTGAACAGGAAGTTCTTTTTACTATAACTTAGATAAACTTTGAACGTTATCTAGTAATTTGTTATTAACTTAGTGGATTGCTTCGATCTAGACAATGTCCCATGTAAGTAGGCTAAAAGTGGATTTAGTCAAACCATGTATATGGTTGTGTTCTATACTTTCTGCACTTGTGTTTGATGTGGTTAAAAACTGAGAATGTCTTAATCTACTTGGTAAATATTCCGCTGCACTCTAAAATGGGTAATCCAAAACCAAAGTATTTTAACCTGTTCCTAACAATAATTATCTAAAACTGCCTACACGTTATTTGATAAAATAAGATTTTAGAGTGTAAAACTAATGGATTAAAAATAACTAAATCAAACAAATAAATAATGTGAAACATTATTAATGAAGTTAGCGTACAGATTTCCCCCTAACTATGTTTGACAACTACTCTTAATGCCCATTTGTGCTATGAATTGGTAGGATTCCTCTAAGACCAATTATCTTTATTCAGGCATAATATTCAACTTAATACATATCTCTATGCGGTTACTCTAAAATTAAGAAGCATAAAAACATCAATCATTTACAACTAATTCGCCATATTCGGTTATAAATTAGGTAGACCACAAATTAATCCTAAAATCCCTATCCGATTACTTCTAGTTTTAATACGTTATGCAATGTTATTCTAATAAAACAATTATGAATATAAATTAAGCAATAAACTTTAACTTCTCTATTCAAAACATCATCAAGGTAATTGAATCAATCCAACATTCATAAAGCATTAAACCTAAACTCTTGTACAAATTCATAAATATAAATCTGGTATTAAGAATAAAAATTGTTCAAAACATAATTACAGTTCTATCTTCCCCTAACAAAATAGATTTACTTCATCCTAAGAACAAAGAACTAAACAGAGAAGAAAGAAAATATATTCAGACTTGAAAATAAACAAAAATCAAACTCTTATATCTGATCTTCAGTCTTCAAGCCCCAGGAATACGTCTTCTTCTCTCCAAAATATGCAAAATTCATCTCCTGATAACTAATCTCAATTATATTTAAATACCCAAAAGAGTCATAAGTGAAAAAGGAAAGAAAAACTGACAAAAATACCCTAATAGTTCCCGCCACAACCCTGGCCATAGCTAAATTTAAGTCACCACAGCCTAGGCTATGGTGTTTTCTGGTCTCTTTATTTTATCTTTGTTCCACCACCATGGCCATGATAAACTACCAAGGCATGGCCGTGCCTTCAAGAATGTTAGGCAATGGTCAACTTCTTTAAGCTTTAAGCACTAATTTCATTCTAATACTTCACTCTATTCAATCAAAGCCTAAAAACTACAAAAGTTATCCAAACTAATAGCTAACTATTCACATCTCAAACTTTGACAAAAACTAACACAAAGAAAACAAATTAAAAGTTAACTAAACTAACATCAAAACAATCCTAAAAACACTCAAATTACGCAACTTATCAGTAATCCACTGCCATACCCCTAAAATGCTAATACGTATGTGGTATTCATCATTTTGTATTATTTTAAAGCATAAAGCATAAGTGAAAGGCACACTTGGGCAAACGAAATCAACCACTTTGTGTTGTATTAAAGTCAATTAATTCCTTAGTGGGGTTTTAAGTATCAATATCTAATAATAAACTTACAAAAGTAATTATTTTGACTTTGTATTAAAATCAATGTGCTATCGACTTATTCTAATTGATGTGAGAATTGATTCATAAAGTCTCATTATTTAAATTAAAAAAAAAAATTGCAATAATTCGTATATTATAAATGTGTAAAATAATGTTTTGTATGCAGTGTCGGGTGAGCATCCAATGTAGAAATTTATTCTGGTCCTAGCTCTTACCTCAGGGGCAGGGAGTTTATTTATGTGTGAGATGTGGCGAGTTGTGTTTGGTGAGGCAAGTAAACAGAATGAATTAGCACCACACCATTCTTTTCGTAGAAAAATACATTTTATGATACGTATAATCTTAGTTCAAATACTGATCAAGTCAACTTGCCATCAATATAATGCAATAGATTGGGATATAATATATGTCAATAAAAGAATAATGTCATATAGAATAATATTAGTATATTACATATCTGAAATAAGAACTCAAATTTCTCATCTCAAATAATTTTTCATCTTATATATGACATTGATTTATCATTTGTCATATCAATATCATAGAAGGTGACACTATAATGGGAATTTTACGAGCTCTTGAAATGTTAATAATTTAATTTGAATAAATAAGTTTGTATATAATATTTAGTTTTAATATAGTATATGTATATACTTAAAAAATCTCATATGTCATTATTAAAGAGTCAAAAAAAAGGAAAAGTATGGAGAGGGGGAGGGGAGGGCCTATATAAACAAGGCCTGTCTAGTAAGAGTTTTGCATATACCAAGCAAGCTTCAACACCTTCGCTATTTCTACTACAAACTAGTCACCTTTTTCATCTCTTGTTGCTCTCACTCACCTTCCATTCCAATCAAACCCTTTTTATTCATAAACTAGTATCTCATGGAAGAAGACAAGGGACACACCCGAGATGGCACTGTGGATCTCCAGGGCCGCCCCGTTCTTGCCTCCAAAACTGGCAAATGGAAAGCCTGTGCTTTCCTTGTTGGTAAACAATTCATGTTAACAACTTTTTTTTTTTAATTTAATGATATACTTCATGATAACTGCGATTTTCTTCTCTTTTTTCTCTTCTATTGCGTTAAGCTGAAAGCTCATCATGTGAATTTTTTGTGAGTTAATTACAGCTTATGAAGCATTTGAGAGAATGGCCTTCTATGGAATAGCGTCAAACTTAGTGAACTATTTGACAAGCCAGCTTCATGAAGACACAGTTTCTGCAGTGAGGAATGTGAATAACTGGTCAGGATCTGTGTGGATTACTCCAATTCTTGGTGCCTACATAGCCGATACTTACTTGGGTCGGTTCTGGACTTTCACAGTTTCATCTCTAATTTATGCCATGGTAATTATTATCATCACCATCTCTCCATTAATCGTTTTCATTCAATCTCTATATCAAAACAATGGTCGAATCCAGAAGCAGTAGTGAACTGAGACATTCTAGCTTTTCTCATTGGCAGTATTCACCACATGAATCTTTGATATGATAAGGGTTGAATTCACTATCTTTATTTTCCAAACAAACTTCCCCATCTGTTAGGACAATATTTTAGATTACCTACACTCAAAGGCCAATTAAATTCTTTGTTTTTGGTGGGTCCAATGAATATATTGCTACTTCAATTGATTGGCTAATTTTCATGGAGTGTGAGTTGCATCATTTCTTCTCCACAAACGTATCTATGATTTATATTTGACCCCCAATCAAAGTAGCTAGCTATATGCTGTCTCATTTGCACTAATTATTATTCTGAATTTACATATTTCTAACAATGCTTAAATTAAATTCTTGAAAAAGCAGTTTCAACTGATGCAAAAGAGACTGATCAGTTTTGTATTCATCGATGATTACAAGAAAATATATGTTTCATTAAGTTTTAGCTGTAAAAATTTGATGTTTTACAAGTAATATTCTCAACAGGGAATGATACTTCTCACAATGGCAGCTTCGTTTAAATCAATGAGGCCAACATGCGCCAATGGAGTCTGTAACAAGGCCTCGACTTCACAAATTGCCTTCTTCTATACATCTCTTTACATCATTGCACTAGGGGCCGGTGGAACAAAGCCCAACATATCCACCTTTGGTGCTGACCAATTTGATGACTTTGACCCTCATGAGAAAACCCTCAAGGCCTCATTCTTCAACTGGTGGATGTTTAGTTCTTTCATTGGTGCTTTATGTGCCACTCTAGGCCTTGTTTACATTCAGGAGAACTTGGGATGGGGATTGGGGTATGGTATTCCTGCAGTTGGTCTTCTATTTTCTTTGTTCATCTTCTATCTAGGTACTCCCATTTACAGGCACAAAGTAAGGAAGACTAAAAGCCCTGCAAGAGACTTGATTCGAGTCCCGGTAGCCGCCTTCAGAAACCGAAAACTCCAGCTCCCTGATGACCCATCAGAGCTTCATGAATTTGAGATGAAAGACTATACTAGTAGCGGAAAACGCCAAGTCCATCATACTTCAGTCTTTAGGTAAGCTTCGATATACTTCTCTGTTAAGCAACTGCAGTTTGACTCAAAAGCTAGAAATAATATTATCCAAATAATAATATTAAGCCCCAGAAATAATATACAAGTGCATGCTGAGTAATCAATGTAAACACAGTCATTTTTTGGATGGAAAATGGCTGATGAAAATAGTATATATATTGTCCTTGCTTGGAACTTTGAAGATAATACAAGTAATACATGGTGTCATTTATTCACTATAAAAATTTTCCAATGTTTAGAAATTATGGCTGCTTGCATGCTTTCCACATTATGTGGTGGGTGTAGTGGAGGAATTTGAAGAAGTAGGGAAAATAAGAGAAACCTTTTTTCATTCCAACAAATGATGGTGGCAAGGAATCTAATTAAAGGAACATTCAATTAGAGTAAAAACGAATCAAAAAAGTGCTTTAATATCTGATGCCTAAAGCAGGTGAGATGGACTTTCCTGCTTCATGTGGGAGAACTAGAAAATCTACTGTGGCAAAGGCTATCGTGGGGTGTTGTTTTTATGATATTTGGTGTCGCAATTTGCTCAATAAATTATCTCCATGAGCATCCTTCACGTACTCCTTCTCAGAAAACTTTAATGAATTGTCACAAACTCTTCGCCAAGTTGTTGTAAATATAGAGCGTATCACAGTGCAATAGTGCGCTCCACTGCCCCACCAGGAACAGCTCACTATCCAATCCCATCAAAATTATATATATATCTGTGAAACACGTTTTCAGAAAATTGCTTCTTTTTTTCGGCTTTAAAAACGATATAAAGTTTCGCTATCTAAAACATATCCCTTCAAAATTATTGATAATGCGTCAGTTTGCCAGAGATTTGTGTATCTGAATATTAAATACAGAGTACAATTGAAGTGATTATATGTATAGAGGCTGTATTGATTATATTTAATTGTGTTCTCAGGTTCTTGGACAAGGCTGCAATAAAGGAGGCAAACAGAGCCACAGGTTCAGGGACCACCAAGCCACCCTGCACAGTGACTCAAGTGGAAGGAACCAAACTTGTTATGGGAATGGCTCTTATATGGCTCGTGACCTTAATTCCCAGCACCATTTGGGCTCAAATCAACACTCTATTTGTCAAACAGGGAACCACTTTGGACCGACATCTAGGCCCTAACTTCCAAATTCCAGCAGCCTCTTTAGGCAGCTTCGTCACACTCTCTATGCTCCTTTCTGTGCCAATATATGATCGTTACTTTGTGCCATTGATGCGTAAGAAAACTGGAAACCCTAGAGGAATCACACTCCTACAACGACTTGGCATCGGATTTGTGATCCAAGTGATCGCCATAGCAATTGCTTATGCGGTTGAAGTTCGGAGAATGCATGTTATAAGAGTGCAACATGTTATAGGCACAAAAGAAGTTATTCCCATGAGCATATTTTGTCTAATGCCTCAATATGTTCTATTGGGGATAGCTGATGTGTTTAATGCGATTGGATTATTAGAATTCTTCTATGATCAGTCTCCGGAAGATATGCAAAGCCTCGGAACAACATTTTTCACTAGCGGGATCGGCGTCGGGAACTTCTTGAACAGCTTTCTAGTGACAGTGGTGGATAAAATCACAGGGAGAAATGGAAAGAAGAGTTGGATTGGTGATAACTTGAATGACTGTCACTTGGATTACTACTATGGATTCCTTATGGTGATATCTGTGCTAAATTTAGGAGCATTTTGGTGGGCATCTAGTAGATATGTCTACAAGAAAGAAACCAAAGAAGTGAACGAGGGTTGTGTTGAAATAATGGAGACCAAAGGATTAGACACAACTCTAGGATTACAAGTGTGAAAAAAAAAAAAAAAAATTATAATATATGATCTAGCTACCTACATATTATAAGTATGAATATGATAACCCCTTTTAGCTTTTAAGATAAATGCAATCTCAAAATGTTCTTAATTGGCTGCTATTTCAATCATGCAGGCATACACATAGATAAACCAATCCCTCTTGTCATCAGCAGGAAGCTTGCATAAATAATTCGCATCATTAATTTGATGCCTCTTCTCTCTCTCTCTCAAAGTTTTCATGATTTTATATATACATATACATGTATTAAATTTTATATATACATATACATGTATTACACGTAAAATCAATCCGATGACAGTACTCCATGCATTTACTTCATTTGACACAGAAAAAACTCAAAACTACATCCTTTAATTCAACCTTGATATGATTGATCAACGACATGTCTAAGGCTAATGAACTCTCATTTTTCTAAGATGCTTTTCCTACATTTTCCCAATTCAGAGACTCCCATTATTATCTGCCATCGCATTTCCACACTGTTGGAGGTTTTTTGTCAAGGCAAGCACCAATATATTTTGCTTTTGCCTTCGCAAATCAATGCATTAAACATACTTAAACTCTGCTGCATATTGAGTACTGACTTGTATCCAACTTTTATGAATTACACTGCACTTGCACTCCACTTACCAATAAATTGATTCATATGTTGCATGCGTTGATTGATTTAAATGAATTTTTCATCTTTGTTATGGCCAAGCCATTAATTAATTGATTACTTTTTCTTTTCAATAAAGATGTCAAAATTTTCTGCGGCAGCTTACCAAACTTATGATACTGATTAATACCACTAGTTTACTATATATTCTGTCTTTCTCTGTAATTTTCAAGCTAATTTTTTTAATTTCCATGGATTTGAGCTTCTTTTTTTTTTTTATAAATAATATGGGCATCTTTGAAACAAATTTTAAAGTTATCTTGACTTTTACTACCACAATCTTCGCTAAGATTTCTCAATCATGATTCCCCTATGTTAAACAATAATTAATTAGGCGGAAAGCAAATTTTACATCCACTGTTCTTTTTATATTTATAAGGTTACAGGAGGTCACGTAAACGAATAATGAGCAGAGGTACAGTGATTGATTATCCAAGAAGAATATCAAGTCAATTTTTTTCACAGTATCTGTGTTTTGAGAGGTAAAAGGTTATATAGAATGTGGGTTTCTTTCAAAATCCGAAAATGAGAGGGGAAGCCCTCATTTATAGTAGAAGGTTTAGGGTAATGATTAAAATCTATAAGTGAGCAGGTGTATACAATTCCTACCGCGCTTCCCTTAACTGATTACACGGCAATATCCTTAAACCGCAGGACTTAGACAGGTGGGCGACTCCATCACTCATGCAAAGCCTAAGTTTGCCAGTTGATGATAGTTATACTCTTTCTGTCTTTTGACGATGTGACAGTTTCTGGACGGACAAAACTTCCTGAACTCTGATTAGTGCTAGTGGCATAAGTCGCTCAACCTGATTTTTTAGGCATAACAATGCCGAATTCAAACACTTTGTCATCCTTTCAAGTCAAGGGGGAGCTAACAACAAAAATTCAAGTCAACTCGAGCAATGCCATGCAAGCTATGCAAATAGCTAATTTAGGAGGCAACATACCCATACCAAAGATGGACAGAAAATATTTAACATACTATTTACTGAAGATAACTCATATCTGCACAAACCATGAGGACAGTGGTATTCAATTTCCAATCCAATAATGTCTGGATTTACCATACCAACACCTAATAATTTATGTACTGAATCCCCACCGATTCCCCCCTTGATTACTAATAGAAAACACATACCGTGATAATAATTTGTAAGCATTAATACTGTATTAATGGTTCTGCTACGTGCCGTGTTCTGATACCATAACACACACAGGTAAGATGAGGACTTGCACAATTTTAACCAAGTTTTAGAGGGAATTCATCAGAGAGGAAAAACCAGAAGGCCACAGTGTGCACCTAGAACCATACACTTCATAGTTCTTGTATTTGTACGGAGTAGTAAATGTATATAGTACTAACCTGAGCAGTATGAATGTGTTTTAATTGTACGAGTGATTTACAGCCTGAAGCATGAATTGACAGAATTAAAAGTTAAAAGAGTATCCTGAACCATTAACAGCTTGGATTTGATTATCATGAATTCGAATTGTGCGGATTGTGAAGTTAAAGCCATTCAGTCTCTCAATCAGCTCAAACTTATAAGAACTGAAGTACTATCGATATAGATTTTTCATTCAAGATCTCAAACCAACAATGATTATAATTATATAACATTATCAAACTAATAATATCGATACTAATCTGGAGAATAGCTGGAAGCTTCTTTAACTTGTACTGGCAAGGGTCAACATCGATCTGTCATGTTGTTTGTGGGTTGATCAAAGTGGAAGAAGCTGTTTGAATTGTACTAGTAACAGTGCGCTAAACGTCGGTGGCATTATTGTAGTGACAAACGATTAAAGATAATTGGTTGCTCATTAGTGCGGTCGGTGCGATGGGTTGCAAACTACACTGCACAAACACAGTACTGTCCAAGCTAAACCAACCCGGTCGACTCAAGCAATTTTTAGGTTAACCAGAGAAAAAAAAAAAAAAAAAAATCTTATCTTGTATTTGTTAAAATAATTCAGAGTATTATATTTTGTTTTTATCCGATAAAAATCAGATTATAAGATGACATGACTAGGTTGAAAGCATCACAACCCACAACCACAAACACAAACTCGATTTTGTTTTATACAAGACATGCGCAGTCTAACCGGGGGCCTCCTCTCCGTTAAGGATGGCCTGGCTGCACGTTTGTGATTATAGATTGGATAGCAGTATTATCTCTTCATAATTGTGCTATCAGTTATCGACATTTCACAAAAAATAAGGTCAATTCAATGGCACATTGCTGGTATTTTACAAAGGAAAATCACTTGTTTGTAAAGCTTGCTTCTTCTTTTTTTGTTTTTTTTTTAATTTCTTTTATCAACTACCCCATTTGCCAAGACAAAGTTAAATTTTGTTTATAAAATAAAACCTGCTGGTTCTTCTCAAAAGGTTAAGATAGCCCTTGATTAGGATTCAGGGCAATGAATGTTAAATAAATAGAAGGTGAAAACAACAGATGAGATTCCAGTTGTAATGTATGATAGATAATTGGTGATTAAAATTTTTGTCTTTGGATGGCAGTTTTGTGTCGTTTCTTTCATTAAGTTCCAAGTTTTGACATGACCTTGCTTTCCGCAATCTCATTTGAGCATGAATCAAATTTGGCTTACATGAGCAATAATGAGGGACCAAAACAATTAATGTTTGGAGGTGTTCACAAATATCGTTTAGTTGGTTTTATGATAGGAGGCAAGGACCAATTCGTTATTATTTTAACTTAATATTTATTTTTAATTAATTAATTATTAGCTAGTTGCAAATACATTTTCATGGCTAATTTTTTTTTTTTTATAATCAAGAGTGCACTCTGTACTAATCTTGGAGAGACTAACAGTAACTGATGTGACTAATCAACTAGCAAATACATAAGTGTGTCAAGTAATAAGTGATGAGTTTGAGATATCCCACAGAGATCAAAACAATTATTGGATTATGGAATATTCATATTTGTCAAATTTATGGGTGTGTGTGCACACAATTCTGCGTGCACAGGCTACCAGACTTATGTCTGTTGGTTGTTTCGAGTGTGTATGTGCACAATGGTTTGTTTTACATCTTGCTTCAGAATTAGCAACCCAAACCGAGTTGATAAAGTGAAAAACATATGGTTATCTTATCTCTTGTTTTTTAGGACATTTTTACATATGTCAAATATGCATAGGTGATCTAGGGAATAAGTTATCTTTCCCGATTATTTTGTGTCCAAACTAAAAGAATGAATATTTTCTTATTTGGACAAAACCTCACATATCAATATAGATTGGGCTCTGGAATGTGATTCCTTTGATGATGTGGTGCGTGGTGTGTGTCAGTGCTTGAAGTTAGTGTTTCACAAGCGTGTTCTAGGTGTGTTCCAGGTGAAGAAATAGAAGAAGTTGCTATCATTAAAGATTCAAGTGTGGTGCTAAGTGTAAAGTTGAACAGGGAGTTCTTTTAAGTAACTTAGATAAACTTTGAACGTTATCTAATGTGTTTTAATTAGTGGATTGCTCGATCTGACAAGATCCCATAGTATAGGCTAAAAGTGGATTAGTCAACCATGTATATGGTTGTGTTCTTTACTTTTGCACGTTTTGATGTGGTTAAAAACTGGAATGTTTAATCTAATTGGTAAATATCCGCTGCACTCTAAAATGATAATCCAAAACCAAAGTGTTTAACTTTTCCTAACAAATTACTAAAACTACACACGTATTTGAAAAAAAACAAAATTTAGAGTGTAAACTAACGGATTAAAAATAACTAATAAACAAAAAAAATAATGTGAAGAACTTCATTAATGAAGTTATGGTACAGATTTCCCCTAACATGTTTGACAACTACTCTTAACCCTTTGTGCTATGAATGGGAGGATTCCTCTAAGACCAATATTATTTAGGCATATATTCAACTTAATACAATCTCTATTCGTACTCTAAATTAGAAGCATAAAAATTATCATTCTTACACTAATTGCCCTATTGGTTATAATTAGGTGGACCACAAATTAATCAAATCCTATCGATTACTTCTAATTAATGCGTTTGCAATGTATTCCAATAAAACAATTATGAATATGAATTAAACATAAACCTTACTTCTTTATTCAAACATCATCAAGGTAATTGAATATATAACATTCATAAAGCATTAAAAACAACTCTGCATAAATTCAAAACATAAATCTGGTATTACGAATAAAAATTTCAAAATAATTAGGTTCATCTTCCCCTAACAAAATAGATTTACTCATCCTAAGAACAAAGAATAAACAGAAGAAAAGAAAAATATTCAGACTTGAAAAATAAACAAAAAATAACTCTTAATCTTGATCTTCA